AAGAGGTTGAATTATATCTAAAATCCCTTCTTTTATGCTTTCAAAATATAGTTGAAGCTATAAAACATGACTAAAGTCATCCAAAGGAAGACATGGATAGAGAAAAGAGAAAGCCAAGGACTGAGCTTTGGGAGGTAACAATGCAGATCTTGAAGTGGTGGGGGAAGTCATGACAGAGATCTTACATGGAAAGCAAGAGGAACAGTTTTGAAGATGTGGCTAATAAAATTGAAGAGAAGGATATCACAAACCTTATAGAACATTTATACTCTAATGCTGTGGGAACCTATATGGGGAGTTCAGAGATAATGTATGAATATGTTTAGGCAAGAAGTAGCTATAAACGTTGATGGCACTCTTAACTGTGGAGCCACATATTAAAGTACTATACATTGTACATTTGTAGACAACTTGTGGTACTTATTTTGACAATCTTGTGCCTGTAGTACTGAAACCTTTGTAATATATTGAAATAAAATTTTACATACAATTCCCATTTCTTTCTCAGTTCTAGTTTCATAATGAAGAAAAGATAATTAAGTTGCTTTCTATTTCTACAGAAGGTGAAACCTCATTTAGGATTGTTGTAATTAATTTCTCAGAGGAGGTGCTGGGGAGACAGACCATTTGTACTTAAACTATGCTAGGTGGTGCTTAACATTTGAGAGGTTAGTATGTTGTCAGGCTCATTGCTGCCCTTGACTCAGCAAGTTTGTGAAGGAATGGAAGGATGGAGAAAGAACATTTTAACAATTTCAGGCTAGGTTATGAGAAAATGAGAGAAAAAGGAATTTGGAGAAATAGTTGATTGTTTTATTTTTAATGAGGTGAGAGTGAGATAAATAAAACCAGTCTGTCTGTACTAGCAGAAAATTTCCCCAGTTGCACATACTTTTGAGGGATGTAATCTGAAACCACAGATAGCACAAACCACTGTCTTTTTTGGCTGTATTTGAAAGTGGTCCTTTGCAATTTCATTTCTTATATTGTGTTTTGAAACATAGCTGTTTAAAAATCTGAGAAATAATTTGCTGGATTCAAAATGCATCTATGTGGATATATATTTATCTGCTAATTTCTGGTCAGCTTTAAAGTGGATCTGAACTACTCTTAAATTAGGTATGTCGTTAGATTCACCTCTCTCCCTCCTTCTCATTATTCCCTCTCATTTAGATGCACTTCCCTCTCATTTAGATGAGATAATTGAATTTGCCCCCTGCCTTGAAGTTGAAGATAACTAACTTTATTGATTGCTTACTGTGTGTCAAGGTGCTATTTTAAGTTCTTTTTTGTAAGTCTTAGGAAGTAGAAGCTGTTATTATTCCATTTTATGTATGCAGGAACAGTGTAGTTTAGTCGTAATCTTTTTAGATTATTGCTGGGTTAACTTTATTAGCTGTGTATTAATTATGTGAAAGGAGAATAATAGTAAATGGGTACAGTGAAATTGATATAAAAAAAGTATAAAAAATGTTTTTTCCTCTCAAGGAAAAAGTGCATGATTATTTAAATAAATGCTGAAAAACTAGAAACAACTTTACAAGTTCTTCAGGTAAATAGTTAGAAATTATGTATACATATTTCATCACAATAATGGACTCTGTTGATGTAAGGTTCATTAAAAATGGTAAGTGAAAAAAACCCTATAAACCTATATCCACAATTAAAATCTGCAATGAACTTTACAACACAGAAATGTTTGTCTCTTTTTAATACCACTTTGAGAATCTGACAGACAGAATGAGAAGTAGAAAGTGACAGGCATATTTTGGTAAGTAGTGTAGGTCATTGAGTAAAGGAAACAGTTAATGACTGGCATCAGAATATAAGAATAACGGAAAGGTCATTTGAAGGATGCTTCAGAGATGGAATCCTGTGTTAGGTGTTCCTGTAGACTTTCAGGACCTGTCAATGCCAGAAATGGAAATTTTCCCAAAAAGTTTGTAGAGCAGTATTTTCCCAAAGTGATTTTTGCAAAATTGTTTATAAAGGGGTTCATTTAAATAGAAGGCAAGGAAAAGTGAGTGAGTTTATTGAAGAATCAAGACTGAGGACTCAAGCTAAGGAAGAGCCTCCAACTAGCTCTGCTGCTTGGCTGAGCTCTTTGTTGAGGATTTTACACAGTCTGTGAGGAAAACATTTTCAAGGATTTTTATAGAGAAAGGTCAGGGCAAGTTGTCCAGTTAATGTATTATGTTGTCTATGCATTGAGGAAAACAAAGCCATTAAAATTTACCATCTCTATTTATGGCTTTATCTTCTGGGAACTTGGAGTTTTAGCAGTGCTATAAACCTTGAAGTCTTTCTTTGAAGTTACTGATTTGCCCTGATGCAGCTTTTTATTGTTGACACAGCTTCTTCACAGTACCTGTTCAGCTGGGTCTTGACTGTTGGCTTGTACCCCTCAGTTGAGACCAGGGAGAGGGGTACCTCTTAATTGCTAGCGTTGTTTAATAGAAGTTATGTGTTACATGTAAATAAAAGGTGTTTGTAGTGAAGCAAATTTGGGATATCCTAGGATTCATAAAATTAAGTACTACTTTTGGGTAGGACCTATTAGCACCTTAACATAATAAGTATTTTCCAGATGAGTAGGAGTGGTAGCACATATACACGGCAGTGCAAATATTTCCCTTTGGGAAATACTAGAATGTTACTGGATTTGTCCATGAGCACTTGGGAAATGCCCCATATCTTCTAACCCATAACCTTTTTTTGCTTTTGAGTAAAAAATTCATGAAAATAAGTTCTAAGCTAATCTGAAAGTAAACTTTGTTTTTGATATTAGAAGTGTGCTAAATAGAGAAGTCAAACTTGAGAAACTGCATTTGCTTTGATTTTAATCTGCTTTGATTTTAATTTGCTTTGATTTTAATTTAGGATTTACAATAAGGCTATTAGACATAGAAGTTTTCTTTTTAAAATTTAGACTTGATCATGGTACTCATTTTAAATAAAGCCTAATACTGGCCTCCCACAACACAATGAATTTAGAATAAAATCCAAACTCCTTATCATCTGTATAGTATTCCTTTTCTCACCCGGCTCCAGCCACCCTGGCCCACCCTCAGTCTCTCAAACATGTCAGTCTCTTTCTCGAATTGGCCTTCACGTATGCTGTAGTTTTATCTGGAGCAGCTTACTGTTTGTCCTCTGCGTGGCTGGATCCTAACTGGTATCTCTTTGAGGAGTTGTTGGCTGACTGTCTTGAGTGAGTCTGCACACCTCTCACCACTGCTATGTTATTTCACAATGTCAGTCAGTTGTTTACTTACTCATTCTCTCACACTTGATTGTAAACTCCAGAATGCAGAGGCCATGTTTATTTTAGTCACTAATGTATAATCAATGTAGAGCATAAAGTGCCCTATAATTTTGATAAATCAAATGAAAAAATGCAAGTGATTGAATTCAGAACTCAAAATTATTTCCAAATATAAATGCAAAGGTTTTTTTTTTTGTATATAGCTTTCTTTATTGTGTTCTGAATACATTGAATATGTATTTCCATAGCTGTGATGAGCTCACAGTAATCACTTATCCATTCATTCAACAGATGCTGATTCATTATAGTGCTAGGGGAGAGATGGTATTTGAGTTAAGTAGACATGTCTAAGAGCTCATAATTTCATAAGTAGGGGAAACAGAAAAGCAAACAAAGTTTTACTGTACAGTACAGTAGGTGCCACAATTAAGGTTTGTATTAAGTTCATCAAGAGCACCAAATTCAGCGTGGGTCTTTTTTGAGGGTTGCCTGTGAAGGGGTATGACATGGACAGCCTGGTACATGAGGTGAGTCAGGTGGGAGAGGAAAAAAAATTGCTAGAACGATCTCCAGACTGAGGTATGCATGTCATTCCAGTGTAGAGAGATGTCAAAACAGCAGTTTCCCTTGACATCCAAATATGTTCAATTACTGAGTTTATGATGATAAACTTAAAGACATCAGATAGGAAGAAAGCTCAAAAAACTTTTTAATAGAAATCTATTCATTTCCTGAATTTGAGTAGGCACAATTCAGATGTGGCTATGATGAATTCCACCTATGGGAGATATGAGGGCCTCAGGCTAAAGACATAGTACAGGGCCCAGGTTGAGAGTCACCTTTAGCTGGGTAAGAGTTGGAACTTGAGAGACCTGTTGATAGATGGTAAGCAGTGGCTACATGACTAGTTTTTCTAAAAGTCATTCTGGTGACAGTATAAGAGAATGGTTTGAGGGATAGGGGACCAGAGGCAGGCAAACAGTTTAGAGGCTAAAGAATTGCTAGGTGAGAGATAAAGAGGAAAAGAATAGACAAGGGGTAGAGGGAGAAGAGGAAACAGATTCAGGTCCTGGGTAGGAAGAGGATTCCAGGTTTCTGCAAGTTTGCAAAACTAGGTGCTTGGAGGTGTCATTCACTGAACTGGTGAGGAACACATTTTAAGAAGGAAGATTATCTCTTGAAATTATTGAGTTTGCTGTAATGGTAGGATACATGATCATGATAAGTATATGATAAGATAAAATACTAAAGTATTCATGGTAAGTATTAGAGGTCTAGTTATTAGGTATATGTATATTAACACAAATAAAGATCTAACAAAAGAGACATTGAAGGAGAAAGGCAAGGATAGTGCTTTGCAGAACATACGTAATTTAAGGAGATGATAGTGGAGAAGGCACGACAACAATAATCAAGGAGAAATAGTAGAGAGGTGGGAATATAACAGTGCTGACTTCTCAAAGAAGGAAATAACTCAAGCTCCATACAGACTACCATGTTAATAAAGGGAAAAGTAATGGTCCTTTGATCATAATTAGTTTTCATGGCTACAGATGGTATTTCCAAGCCTAGCTGATTGCTTTGAAAATATTTGCTGTTAGTCATAGGACAGGAAGGGATGATGAATAGATGTGTGATTGGGTCAATACAAATTATCCCCACCTCTGTAAAATTAATATACCAATATATTTTCATGTGAACTAATATACTATCTTTAGTATATTATATAGTGCTTTATTTGATGCAATTTTATTGCCTATCATACAGTGAACATACTGATAGTAAGATTATTTGAAAAGGCAGTATGCTTTCATTTCTAGTAGTATAGATTTGTAGTTAAGGAAGGGTATATCATCCAGAGAGGGCAGATGCCCTTGGTGGAGCCTCAATTCAGTGCCTGATCCTTAGCTTTGATCAGGCTTTGGGGATGTGTATCTAACCCAATTCATAAGATACTAGTTTACAAAAAATCCCAAATTGCTAACTAAAAAGATTACAGTGAAACAACACATGGTATATGTAGCAATTAACATACAAGTTATATAACTTTATAATAGAGTTGAAATATAAGCAGAAGGTTGTTTAGTGGATGTGGAATCTCACCAGGGGGAATTAGCGGAATAGCTTTATTTTGATGGTAGGAGATCCTTGTCTACTATTAAGAGTTCTTTTCTGGATGCAACAAATAAAATTCAGTTGTCAGTGATGGACAAATATGATGAGTAGGTGGCTTAAAGGGTAGGACCCAACCATCTAGTTGAGGAAAGTACATTCCCTAAGCTTAATGATAAAGAACTGTGGAAACTGGTATGAGGGATTTGTAACGCTTCATGTTAGCACGTATTAATGTTCAGTGCAAATGGCTTTTGAAATGTATTGGAGCTGTAATAATTTTTCTTTGAATTTTCAGGTTCTCCAGAAAAGAAAATGGAACATTCATCCATGAATCAAGAAAAGAACACTGCAGCCCCTATCAAGAATAGGAAAGCAAGCCCAGTATCTAAAGATCACCGGCCTGCAAAGAAAACATCAGAGAATTTGTCAGTACAGGGTCATGTGCAGAAGGGGAATGATGAATCTGAAAGTGATTTTGAGTCAGATCCACCTTCTCCGAAGAGTAGTGAGGAGGAAGAGCAAGAAGATGAGGAGGTTCTTCAGGGGGAGCAGGGAGATTTCATTGACGATGATACTGAGCCTGAAAATCTGGGTCATCGGCCTCTCCTCATGGATTCCGAAGATGAGGAGGAAGAGGAGAAACATAGCTCGGATTCTGATTACGAGCAGGTCAAAGCAGACTACAGTGACACGAGCCCTGTTTACAGAGACAAACCTGGCAGTGGGCCAGTCCCAGATCGTAATTCAACAGTCCTCGCCCCAGCCCAGCCGCCCCCTGATGGTGGAGTGGAGATCCTCAAACAAGAGTTCGATGTGTTTGGCGCTGTGCCATTCTCCGCAGTGCGTGCGCAGCAGTCCCAGCAAGGAGAGAATGAAAAGAACCTCTCTAAACAGATGCCTTTTCTTACTGAGGGGCTAGAGCAAGAGGAGTTTGATGTTTTCACGAAGGCCCCCTTTAGCAAGAAGGTAAACTTACCAGACTGCCAGGCGCCTGAAGCACACACTCTCCCTGTTTGTCCCAAAAATGTAGATATATTTGGCTTCACACCATTTCAGCCCTTACCCGCACCAACAAGTAAAAGTGAAAGCAATGAGGATATTTTTGGGCTTGTGCCATTTGAGGAAATAACTGGGACTCAGCAACAAAAAGTCAAGCAGCGCAGCTTACAGAAACTGTCTTCTCGCCAAAGGCGCACAAAGCAGGACATGTCAAAGAGTAATGGGAAGCGGCATCACGGCACGCCAACTAGCACAAAGAAGACTGTGAAGCCTATCTATCGCACTCCAGAGAGGGCTCGTAGGCACAAAAAAGTGGGCCGCCGAGACTCTCAAAGTAGCAATGAATTCTTAACCATCTCAGACTCCAAGGAGAACATCAGTGTTGCACTGACTGATGGGAAAGACAGGGGCAGTGTCCTGCCCCAGGAGGAGAGTCTGTTGGACCCCTTTGGTGCCAAGCCCTTCCACCCTCCAGACCTGCCGTGGCACCCTTCCCATCAGGGCCTGAGCGATATCCGTGCTGACCACAGTCCTGCCCTGCCTGGGCGGCCAAGGCCTAATTCACTACATGGGTCATTTCATAGTGTAGATGCGTTGAAAATGGATGATTTTGGTGCTGTGCCCTTTACTGAACTTGTGGTGCACAGCATCACTTCCCATCCGTCCCAACAATCCCAGTCAGTCGAATTAGACCCATTTGGTGCTGCTCCATTTCCTTCTAAACAGTAGATCAGTCTGACGGACTCTTGGCATTAACTCCTGTTTCAAAAAAAGTATGAATAGTTTTATGAATATGAAAGAAAATTTATTTGTATAGCTCTTTATAGCATTCATTCTTACAGGTCAATCAGAATAGGAGATTTTTAAATAAACCAAATAGAAAAAGGAAGGAAATCGCAAGGTAGGCCTGGAGGCCTCTGCCAAGCAGGAGAAAAGAGAGCTGAATTGTATACTCCAACCCGGGGTTTCAGCCGCTGATCTGACAGCACAGAAATCCGGGGAAAGCACATGGTACCTTCCCAGTTGCGTGGCCACTGAGAGGGAACTGGAAAACTGTGTGGTTAGTTTTATAACAAAATGTCACATTTGTGTGTTATGCCAGAACCCAGCATTTTAAAACCAAGCTTATTTTTCCATACACAGGTTACATTTGTGGATTTTTAAAAAATGTCTTTTCTGATTTCCACACAGTAAACAAGTCTACTTTCCCCAAATGAGTTGGAAAGTTATTATCTGGACAGTGCAGATAATTTAGTCCTTACACCTTTCTCTACAACGCAGAGCCAGAAGTCAATGACTATTGTGCCTAACACTCACTGCATTTTAAAAAACAAGTGCCATTAATATGAAATATCTACATGGAAGGCTAGAACAAAAACTAAAGGGTATTATCTGACATTTGGAAAATGTAAAAGGAAAAAAATATAGCAGAAGAGGGGAAAAAAACCTCAGTACTTCACAAACACTGTTCGTTTTCTAAAACTTGTATCATGTTCCCAATAAAGCAGATCATTGGAAAACTTGGGAGGACCAAGATTCTATAGAAATTTTATTTCAGAAAGAAATGTGAAGCTGAAACCCTGAGTTTTTAAGCGGTTTACAATATCAAATCATGTTACATTTACTAATATACTTAAAATACCACCTTCACCAAATGTTCCCCAAGTTGTAATCAACACTTTTTGTTAGGTTTGGAGGGTGGAATAGTTTTAATAAAGTGCACAGAACAGTGAAATCCACAAAGCCTTATAGGTAGGACTTACATGTCCTGCTGCAAAGTACCTCTGCACTGTTACACAAGATCTGAAAATGGCTGTAAGGTACTAGATGACGAGGGACTAGCATCTACACTCGGCTAGTTGATTGCGTCCTTAGTGAAAAGAATCCATTTACCAAATTGCCTTTCTTTTTTACACCACAGATCCTAATTAGAAACTTGAGATTTTATAGACATTGTTTAATAAGATAGAAGTTACATATATGAATTAATGTGAATACAGTATGTGTGCTTTCTGTGTCTCCAGCTATTTTCAGTTATAATTAACTCTCCTTTCCTGTCAAATCAACATTTAGAAGTTTTCAGAACTGTTGGAGCTGTTTACTAGAAGGAGGTGGGAAACTTTATTACCTGGCACTCTCCTGGCTTGCTGTATTTTAAATGAACTGAATGCTTTTGAATCCAATTAAAATGTGTTTTATAAGTAATCTTATTAGAATCTATTATAGTGTCCCCCATGGGATGAACTATTTGTCTGTTTTCACAGTTCTAAGCAAAGTATATGTAACTATAAACAATTAATTCACTTCTTTTATTGTGCCTCTTTTTTATATTTTAAATCAGACAAATTTGTGGACAGGCACTGAGGCCAACCAAGCATTACGTTATTGCGTAAGAGTTGTACTTTTAGTGCACCAATTACTTGTTCTTGTGCCAAAGGCAAATATTATGTTTGCACCTTTATTTTTCCTGATTCTCAGGTTGATTAATACTGATAATACAAAACATTCAAGTAGATGGTCTTTAAAACTTTATACTAAGTAGATTCAAGTGATAACTTTCTTTTAAAAGTGAAGAGTTGATGATTGCACATAGTAAATTCATGAACTATACAGTAGGTTTGTATCAAACAAGAATTTTATTTTAAATGAAAATCTGTTGATTGATAAACACAATATACATCTTTGACTATTTTAGTCCTTGTTCTCTGCTAGACCTCATGTGTCTCATAATTTAAAAGGGGTAGTGAACGAATTAGTGTGGTCTCCTTGGATATATTTGAACTCCCTAGATACTGTTTGATACTACGGCTTTGTGCTTGCTTTCCAATATACTGAATAATTTTAAATGATCTAGACACTGATTTAGACATTTTGACTTATGTTAAATTCTAAGGAGACAACTTTGACATTGCTATTTATTATGTCACAACACAGTGACTTTCCTTTTGAAACATTTAGGATTCAATAGGAGACCCAGTGGAATAAGTAGAAATGGGGAAAATCCTTTGTGTTAAAGTAGAGACATTTTCCCAAGGAGTACAGAAATCAGGTTGCATTCCATTTTCGGTCATCTTCTCCCACAATTGTTAGGATGTAGGTCATTGCACATAGCTGATACCCAGGTAATTCCCTTATGTGAATTATGAAACTAAAGCTCAAAAGGCACATCAAAGAGCTTAACATATACTTGGCACTCAGTAGAAATTTGGCTTTATTATGGGATGGTCCAATTCTTGTATAAGGAAGGAAAGTTGAAAAGCAATTATTCTATTATTAATCGGGTGTCCCCTATGTTTCTTTAGCATGTAAAGTAGTCATAATTCTAAACCTGTTATACTTGAACATCACCTAAGAGGAGTAAAATAAGAAGCTAGCAAAACTCTGAGGCCAAAGTTAATTCTGTCCTAACAGCTTTAATATAAATGCTTGTTGATTTTGAATAATCCTTTTAAATACAGACCACTTATGTTAATATCCTTTCAGCAAATTGTTGATATTAAAAAGATCAGCTTTTATGGCATTGAAGAATGTACCTATCTGCTAAAACACAAAAGTTGCTTGGTATATATATAAGGTGGAGAAGCTGCGTGAAATTTTAAGTATTTATTTCAGAAAGTACTGATCAGGAAATAGTGTAATTTTCCACTGATCTGCCCCGTCCTCTGTGTGTGTGTGTGTGTGTGTGTGTGTGTGTGTGTATGTTCTCGCATTTGTAATTGTAGCTATACCTTTTGATTTTACCCTGTTTATTGTTTAACAGTGATAGACCATTGTTTTCATCTTGCTGGTGGAAAACACAAAGGTGAAACCCACTCTTCTATTCTGATGTTCACCAGGCAGAGCAGTTTTCTTACTTGTTAGCTACTCTGGTTGGTTTAAGGTTTTGGTACTTCACAAAAGCACTGCTAGAAGGTACATGCATATTAATATCACTAGTTCTGAGGAGGTTTGGATACATTTGTTTTACTATATGTAGAATGTACAGTGAACTTTTTCTTTTTAGCAAAATTACTCATTTTAGGTCTAATATTGAGCTAACAGATCTACTGTGAGAATGAGATGACATGTACTGTGAGAATAACATAAATGATAGTTTATTTGGAAATTTTTATACTTGGTGTTTATATATTATGATAAATATGTACACATACATGCAATCAATGTGAATCTTTTGTTTTAAATGGAATTGCAACCACAATCATTTCTAAAAGAACATTCATTCCTAGTGAGGGTTTTCAAAAGCCACTAAAAGAATAAAGTAGATGAAAATGCAAAGGGTCATCATTTTGGGTTATTTTTATTTTAAAATTTATAGTTCTACTTTTTGAAAAAAAATTTTATTACTATGATTATTTGTGATTGAAATGTCATCTAGTAGTAAGCAGTATAGTAATAGTATGCTACTTTTTAATTGCTGGCAAACAGCTTTAAGTGCACTTTCTTTGATTACACTTCCATTTTTTGTTAAACTTGAATTTTCTAAAGGCTTTTATGTACCACTAAGCAAAGAACTAACTTTTAAATAAATCTGATAGGCATCTTTATTATATTTCTAATTGTTACAAAACTACTTTCTAAAGTAACTTCAGTCCTCTAATATAGCTGGGAAACTGTTATGAAATAGAATCAGTTGCTTATTCTTCCTATATTCAATTAAGCACTAACAGGTTTTACTACTTTGTTGCCTTTACGTTGCTGATTCTTAATGACTGAATTCTGTCCCCTATTTGTTTTGTTTGAAATTTAAAGTTATTTTCTTACTGTATTTATCATACCTACTGTTTTAATAATCTGCTTTCTTTAATTGCAATAAATCCCAAATGGATTGCATATTCTTTATAATCAGTGACTTCAGAGTTTTTCATTATTTGTCTTACTAAAAGTTTTGGATGTAAAATTCTATTCAGTTCTTTCATCCACACAATAGACATAAAGCACCTATTATGCATCAGCCAGTGGAAGTGAAAAATGAATAGCATTAGATCTCTGTTAAAGATCTTATAATTTAGGATTTAAGTAAGAAAACCTATTACTTTTGCTACAGTAGTACAATTTGTACAGGTATTACAATGGCTGGTACTTCTAATGATGAAGATGAAGCAAAACACAAAACTTAGAAGTACCTTTTTAATTAGTTGTTGGGCTTAATTTTATATGTAATTTTTTTTTTTTTTTTTGGTGGCCCGTACGGGGAGCGAATGTAATTTATTTTTAAAACTTTAAAAATGATGACAACTTCAGAAGGTATTAGGTTACATATTGAATACTTGACTATGTCTAAGAGGGTTTGGCATGTTAAAGAGAGAACCTATTTATTTGATAAGTGAATTTAAGTCTCCTGTCAAGATCACAACATTAATCTGTGTATTAGAAAATCTCCACCTTATTATGAAGTATCTTTTAAAATTAGTAACAATTTAAATTATTTGGGAAAATAAGGGCTTTGGGCTTTTTAATAAAGGATACAAAGGAACTGTGGAATATCTCACTTCAAATTGATGAATAGTTAACAGCCTCTTCAGAGAGGACCATATACAACTTGAGTTAATATATCTTCAGTGGCTAGATCCTTTTTTATGTTGAGCTTCACTATCATATATAAGATGTAATTACTAGTCTTATATTGAAGGCTTGTGGTACACTTGTTGCACATTTTAAAAGAGAGCTTGATTTTTGCTTCAGACAGTTGGCACTATGGCAATTATATCTACGTTCTCTAGTGGTTTTGATTCCAGATTTACAGAGAAGGACCAGAACCTTGGTGGCTAGTCTTTGCTGCCCTTTAAGGATTAAAGATGTAAGTTTTTTATTTTTCACTACTGCTATTACCTGCCCCTTGTGAAAATGTCTCCTAAAAGGTAGGCTCATTATCTCACTACCCAACTTAGGAACTATGGTACAGACTTTTAGGAGACGTCGTAACTAAAAAAGCATCCATAGAAAACTCTCGTGATAGTGCATGTAGACACTCGGCCCCTCCCTTACTAGCTGATTTCATCAGGTGGATCTGAACCTACTGAGCTCAGCAACTGCAGGAATCCCCCAGTGCAGGCTTTGTCCCTGACATTTAATACCGGGCGAAGGATATCACTAGGTTGGTATATACTGCCAAATGGAGGCTTGCACAGCTTTGTGCCAATTAAGCACAATTTTCACATCGTTACTTTGACCAGGTAGGATGGCATAAGATGTGACAGATTCCCTGAATCTTCATTTCTGTTATGTATTACAAAGAATGACAAGCAGCAATAATGTATTTAGTAAAACCAGTTTATTTACATAATACATATTTTGTCATGCAGCTTACTGAATTGTGTAGTAACAAAAAAGAATGACTATTTTGCTATTGAAAATGGCTTTATATAGAAAGATAATTAACTTTAAATTGAGTTAGCTACAACCTTATAAATCACTATAGACAATTTTGAAATGTATTTGTAAAGCCTGCAGGTAAAGAGCTTTTATAGTTTATAGCTTAATAAAATAAAAACCAGTTTTTTTTTTTTTTAGAATTCTAGGTGAATAGCATACTTTTAAAGTCTTATTTTAGTAAATCTATAAAAACAAATGTACCTTATTTTGGGGCTCAGATTTGTAGGCAATTTTAAAATAGTTATTCTTTAATGTTGACAATATAATAACCCTGCCAGTAGTGATACACATAATAGGTAGAGTGTTTACAGTTGACAGCAATCCACATTCATTCAATCCCATCTTTATAATAAATATACCACACTACAGATGAAAATGAGAGGATAGCTTTCTTACAGTAATATTTTCATAAAAACTCAAAAACTTTACATGGTATAATTCTCCCTAAAATCAGATCTGTATGCCTTTTGTATTCAAACACAATCTTAAATACAATATGCTCTTTTTTTCCAAATCAATTTAGGTGGTATTAAATAATATATACACCATAACAGAATATCAGGAATATTTTTAAAAACTGAAATAAAACTTAAGACAACACTTGAGAATATTTTTCATAAAGATAGTGCTAGTCCCGAAAATTAATTGTAACTACTTAATTTTGTTTGGCCAAAATGACAACATATTTAAATATCTATTTAAAAGCAATAACATACAAACCAATAAGAGGTGTTTTAGGGGAAATATATATCCTATTATTACACCCAAATCATTTAATGCATCTTAGCATATATGCCTTATGAAGTAAACTGCCATTTTCAAAGTACAGTTCCATCATCATAATGGGAACAACACAATGTATCCTTAGTCTACTGGGGGGAACTTCTCCTTGCAGAGGGGAATTTACATTCCAAAAACACTACACTGAAAAGAAATACAAAATTTTTTAAATGCATTAACTGAAGCACATTAAAGTAATATTCCAAATATCAGATGTACAAATGTCACTTTGGGAATAAGCTTTACCATCAATCAACACTTGGGATATTTTGAAATTTCAATGTTCTAAAGATAGACCTGTATTTAAAGCAGCTCGTCAACCAATTAAGTAACTTGGGGAGTAATTTATATTCCAATAAACAACGTTTTATGAATGTTTGCTTCAAAGGATTTAATTTATGCATATGAGAAGACCAAAGAATAGGTTATGTTTTATGATAGGGCAGTGTGATCTATTTTTTAAGTATATACAATAAAGCGCAAATTTAACATTTCAAGCCAGAATACTAGTGTTCATCCATATCATGAGTTATCAAGACAGTGCTATCATGCGTAAACAGACTAGAGCACAAGTGACAAATCATCAAATGGGGCATCTGCATGACTTTGTTCTAAGGCTTTAGGTTCATTTCAGGGTCAAAATTGAGCCATCTGGATTCTGTGGCCTTGGAATTAGCACCTCTATAGGTGGGAACCCCCATCAAGAAATTTAGGACTTTTAATTTAGACAGCTGAAAGCTCTATTGCTGTAGGAATTTGGAACCAAAACTCTCCATCCACTGGCAAGAGTTCAATTATTGTGTGGAATTAAATAATATTTGAAATTTAAAATCTGAAGTAGCTAATAACTTGGTTATTAGATCACAGAATTTGTTGCCTTATCATATAATCCATTTCTAATAATTCTCACCTGATGGGTGGGAAGTTTTTTCCTCTTCTCAATGCCTCTCAAAGAAGAGGTTTAAAATTTTTGTTTAGCAAACTTAAAAATCCAGTGTTCCTAGGGAAAAAACTTATAGCTAATAAAAACAGCTAAAGGAAGTAATATCTTAACTGCCAGTTTCTGACAATGTATTCAAAAGGCTCATGATTATTCAAAAATCACTCTCCTAGCTTTTATTAAGCATAGGCTAAAGCAACCCTTGCCTTAATTAGGCACTTAAACTTGATCATCTACTATAAATATCTTCTATTAAAGTAACCACATGGGAAGACTCCATTTTATAATGGAGGTGAGCCCTTCCTAAGAAATTAAGCTGGTGTTAAGTAAAATAAATCCTATTTCTACAGTGGTTTCACATTCATTGTTGTTATCAGATGTTTTTTATGAATGCCAACTAATTTTCACTTCCTGTACAAGCAATAAATTAGTAGATTTAAGGGCCCATAAAGTAGTTAATGTTACAGATCCCCAAGTATATTTTTCCATTTTTATAAAGTATTACTCATTATATATTAAACAAGAGGAAAAAGGGAAACCTAACGGGAATCTTAGAAATAGTGGGGCATACAATTCCCCATTTAAATATTGCTTAACAACTGAATACATCAGGTGGCCATACCTGAATTCACAAATGTGAATCATAGTCAGGACAAGGCTTGCTATGTCTGTACTGCATGACATATACTGTTGACTGATGCCACCAGTATAACATCACTACTGCAAGGATATGCCATATTTGGTGGCTCGATCCGAGGTAGTTTAGTTGTCCTGTAAGGGAAGGTAGAAAGAAAACTGTAATATTTTGACATTAATGGTAGAATATATTTCCATATCCGGCCTTGGAAATATGGCTTAGCAGGGAAAAGATTTTGACAGTTTCAGAGTACATGGAGACTCATTGGATATTAATTCAGATCCGATTTTTTTTTTTTTTAAACAGAATGAATTCACTTTGAGTTTAGTTTAAAGGTTTTAATCAAAGACCCATGGGTGAATTTTGGAAATAATATTCCAAGTGTGTTTTCAAAATCTAACTTGGTCGATTTCAGGAATCTGACCTTTTGTCTGCGGTATCTCAGTAAAAATACCTGGTGAAATGAAAAAAAGACATTATGACAAAAGCAAGGGAAATTTAGATTTAGATATGAAGATTTAGATATTTAGATTAGATTTAGAGATGAAGCCGATGCATGGTTGTGCTTAGATTCAGGTCTGCTAGAAGTACTTTGTATTTCAAGCAGGTATGTGAGGAGAAATCTCAAACCTGAATCTTGTGCTACTAGATAAATGAAATAATCTGCAAATGCCATTAGTAGTAAGTTAACTAGTTAATTAGTCCATACACAACTTACAAGAACTATTACATTTCTATATGTAGTTAAAGACTAAATTACAAGGTCACCATTTTACACCTTACACAAACATTAACTAAAGTGGATTAAATACATTGATATAAGACCTGAAACTATAAAATACATTGAAGAAAAAAATAGGCACACAAGCCATTGCATTAGTTTCAGAAATGTCTTTGGTGATTGTCTCCAATGGCAAGAGAAGCAAAAGGAAAAATAAACAAATGGGATTTATATCAAACTAAAGAACATTTCTGCACAGCAAAAGAAATCACCAAATAAAGATACCCTACTGAAATGAAGAAAACATCTGCACATAATACATATGACAAAGAACTCAGCAATTCAACGAAAAGAAAAAAAAACCCAATCAAAAAATGAACCGAAGAGCTAAACAGATACTTCTCCAAAGAAGCCATACAGATGGCCAAAAGGCACATGCAAACATGCTCATTGTTATTTATCATTAAGGAAATGCAAATCAAAGCCACAATGAGCTATACTCTTATCAAAAAGACTAGCAACAACAAATGTCCCTAGTGAGAGGATGTGAAGAAATGGGTGAGGAAATGGGAAGCCCTTGTTTCCCACTGCTGGTGGGATTGTAGACTGGTCCAACTTCTATGGAAAGCGGTATGAAGTTTCTGCAAAAATATTAAAAATGGATCTATCATATGACCCAGCAATTCCAGTCCTAGGTTTCTACTTGAACACAAAAACATTAATTTGAAGGGATATGTGTATGTACTACTATGTTTACTGCAGCCCTACTGACTTGACTCCAGCCAAGGCTCTCCTGGATTTCCATCATTATGTCCCTTACCACATATTTTATTTATATTATCAACTTTGTGGGGCATCATTATAGTAATAATTACTAATATTTACTGAGTCTTTACTACTTGTGAGGAATGGTGCTAAGTGTTTCACATGCATTTTTTTACTGAATTCTTAAATAATCCCATGAGAGAAAACATTTCTCCATGTTTCAGATGAGGAAACTGGAGCCGAGAAAGCTTAAGTATGTTATTTGTTTTTTTAAGATTTAATTATTCATGCATACAAGAACCAGGGTACAGGCCAGACACACGGGAGGGTGAGAGGATTCACCAGAGACAGAGCAGGGAACAGAACAGGCAGACTGACTGAAATACACTGCTGAAGGGAGCAGCGGGTGAGGCAGGAGACGTCTGCCTCGCCATGTGGGATTCTCGCCAGCCGGCCGGCCAGGAAAGAACCTGCACTGCAGAGGCTGCGGACAGCTTCACAGTGCTGTGCTCAACGGCCTGAGCCACCAGGGGAGGCTTTTAAGTATGTTATTTAGTTCATGTATCTAACAAGTGGGCTGACATGGATTTGAACCCAAGCAGTTTGACTCCAGAGTTGCTTTGGAGAACACTGTTCATGCTACCCAAGCATCCTTTTAGTTATTTTCTATCAGAAATTTCTTTCTCTGAATAATCAGGGAAATCTGTCCTTTGCTTGAGTGACTAGCTTTGTATATCTCTTGGGGAAATGAAGAAACTTAACATATATTATCCTTCTTTTTAGTGTTGGGTGCCAGGAATCTGAGAGCTAGATTGGTGGCGTTGGCCTCAGGAGTCTTATAATGGCTATACTTGAAGTAATCCTAAAGTGGCTTCTTTTCACTAGCCTCTTATTTTCCTTTTTCTCTTTTGTAATTTTATATACTCTGCATATATAAACTTTGAAGAATAAGCTGCTATATAAAGAAGTAAATGATAACTGATAGTGCTCCACACTAATCACATAATCAGTGGCTGGGAGACAGGCCAGGGTTGAACCCCAGCTTAGTCATTAGTTAGTAACTATGAAAAGGTGGTACCTCATCTTTGGATGTTTAAGTTTGGGATGACATTTGATAATAGGAGAGTCATTCTGCAATCAGTTAATATTGAAAAAATAAGTTTTGATACTTGAAGGCATATACCTCAACCATATATGTAGAATAAAGTAACAAAATTATTATAAAAGTGACTCCTACCTGGAAAGTACCGTTCTGGAACTTTGGAAATGTAGAATAAGAAAGCAAGAAGAGCAATCACGTACATCACAACTACTCGGGGTGCAAAGTCCTGAAAAGTAAACAGATTTTCATAGATCTTCCTACTGACTTATAAATGAATCCATTTCATAGATTAGGTGGAATTTGTAGGTGGAAGTGCTGTTAAATATGAATTGCTTTTATGGTCAGTCTCTAATAATTGGAAGCTTGTTCTCAATATTGTAGTATGCAATCCACAAGAGTGAAGTAGAGATAGTGCTCTCAAGTTAGGATTCTAAAAGAATTAGAACATTACTGATGGTCTTAAGGGCATCAAATTCCACTTGTAATATAGGTACATGGGTGGAATACATATGGAAAATGGAGTTATCAGTTGAATAAACAAAGAGACTAAAGACTAGGGGCTTATGGCCAGAAAAGACACCCAAGGTTTGACCAACAATAAAACCTATTCCATCATCCTAGATAAACAGGCCTCTATAAGTCTGTCCATATCACAATTCTACTGGAAAGCTTTCACTTGGTCTGAGAAAACCAGCCAGTTGTAAGTTATATGTAAATTGTTCTTAATTCTAATTAAAACCTAATTTACCAGGAAGCCATTTAAGAAATAAAGAAAAATTACTTCTCTTCCCTCCACAAATTATGATGGCTCTTCCCAAATCTTATATTTTCAGATTAATGGACCTAAGATTTCAGGATTAGCCCTTCTGAAACTTTTTATCTTTTCAACTTTCAGTGCTTCTCTATCTTTTTAAAATTAAAGCTTATTGGAGAGTTTCTCTAGAAGTCTCCCTTTGCTTCTTCATTGGGATGATCTGTGATCATACTAGATTTCCTTCTTTGAGAAACACTGTCTCCCTAAATCATATTTCTATCTTAAGATTTGTAAATATGGGAAAGTTCTTGTTTTTTTTTTTTCTTCTGAATTTCTCTAAAATTCACTACCTTAATGGGTCTTGTTCTCATTTTGTTATTATAAGCTCAAAATGGATGTTTCCCTCATCCCAAAATTTCCATTACTTTTCTTAACTATCAGTTATTTATTGCTGACTAGAATTAAATCTAGCTGCAATTCCCCATTTTGTTTTCTTTACTTACTTTCAGGAAATTAAAATTGTCAGAAAAATGGTGTTTTCATAGATATCAGCATCATTGATGCTTCTTATCACTATACTCCCTCCTAATTTCTTAATTTTATGAAGAAATCATCACCCTTGTCTTCAAGCTGGCAAAATGACCAGATTATATCACTCAATTCACTGTATCACAGAACATTCTTGCTTCTAGTTATACCCACATGCTTTCCACCATGCTACTGCCAACTTTATGCAAGTAGATGTAAACTGACTACTAGTGCCCCCTCTTCCAAAAATATTCTGATTCATTTAAATAAAATTGAATTTAAATTTCTTTAAATGGCCTTTGCAACAAGTGTATATAATTTCTGCTAGATTTTGACTTGTTTACTTATGTTAAAAATTCTCAAGTTTACTCTCTAGTGCATACTAAAACATTTTACTCAGATGTCGAAGAATGCAAGTCTTATTGTAATAATCTTCTCAAGAGTTCCTACTGAGGTGCTTCCTAATGCATCCCAACTGTTTGTTCCTCCCTAATACCTAACTGTGATAGCTTTTCTTTTAGTTCACAATAAAAAGATGGAATGTGCTTCTACAGCTCCTGTTACCAACATAATGATTTTCAAACCTTTATCACTAGTCTGAATTTCTAACCTAAATTCCAGATCCTATCTCTATCTTTATATCCCACAAGTACTTCAAACTCAATAGGTCCAAGAAAACAAAACAAAAAAATCTTTCCCTGCCACAAAACAAGCAAAAAATTCAACTGCTCCTATATCGACTTGTGTTATCACTGGCATTATCCTTTGCCCAGCTGACAAAACTGGAAATGTGGGAATCCTATATAGAAAAGTACTTGGGTATTTTACACACTAAGGGTAACAGAAAGAGAATTAGAGATATATTATTTCAAAGAAAGAGATGTCAGGAAAAAATAATAGACCTTATTTCTATTCATGCCAGGTATGCTTATTTATATCGTTGTACAAATTATGGCATCAATATGCAGTTATAAATATTCTTTTAAATGATAAAGACACACTCACTTAGCCTGATTATACCAGAAAAGGAGTAAAACTGAAAGTAAAATAAAATAGAGGAAAATAGTGAACACACACCACCTACCTGTACAATAGGAGCACCAATTCCTCCATTGAGCCAAACCCAGTGAACAGTAGGGATCACCCCATATCCCGAAACAGAACAGAAGATGATAGAACGGAGCTTCTGCCACTGCTGTGTGAGGTAATTGGGATGAATCTGTGCGAAGAACACTGCCAGGATCAGAGCAAGCACTGTGATCAAGTACACTTGTCGCCAATACTAGAGGAAAAGGAAATGAATTTTAATTGCTATTAACAATAATGGAAGGAAAGAAGTAATTGTGGCTTCTACATCCCAAACTCTACTTGGTATTTTTTATTTCTGAACATGCTTATTTGCCTACCTTAAAAATAAAGCATATTCCATATAACTTTTAGATGACAAACTGAATTCCAAAGTGACTTGGTAAAAGACCACATTTCTTTGTTCAAATTCTGAGTACCTGTTAGATGCCAGGCAGAGCTTAAGTCCTGTAGAAACAAAGATGACTATGCCACTCACTCTCCTACTGGGTGAGCTCACAGACCATGGGAGGGCCAGACATGCAAAAACACGATTATAATCTAATGGTAAGTACAGTAACTGAGTTATGAACAGAATGTTGGAGAGCCACAGAAGAGGGAGCAATTAATGTCACCTGGGGGAAGGTGAAAAATGCCTCACAGAGGAGATGACATCTAAGCTGGGTCTTGAGGAATATATAAGATTTTGTGGGAAGAGGGGGCTCTCAGAAAAAAAAGAACAGTATATGGAGCAGGGGAGTTTTTAAAAGGCAGCTGAAAGGCAGGCACACTATCAGGCTAAGTATCTGAAACTTCATTAGGTTGGTCCTGGGGGAAATGCAGAGCACTTTATAAACAAGATGACATGATTATTTTTTAAATTAGCTTATTAGAAAAATAACTCTTGATCAGTGTACAAAAAGCCAGGTGTCAGGGAGTCAGCTAGAAGATACTTGGATAATTGATTCAAAAAGAGAATTAGGCTTGGAATGCAACTCTTGTAAGATAGATGTGAACATGAGATTCAGGAGGTGCTTCTGAAATAAATCAGTCTTAATGGCTGACTGGATGGATTAGAGGACGGCTCAACTGTTTATAGAGTGAAAGGCGACACAATAGGACTTCTGTGAGACTATGAGATTCTCATGAAATCACATGTCAAACTGTTGGGTGAGCTGTGAGTCCAAATGTTTTTAACCTCATTTTCAAAGCAGCTTGTCTTTTTTAAAAGGTAAAGAGCCACTACAGCAATTTAATATTTGGAAATGATTAGATACCATAAGCAATAATTAATTTTTCCGTTTACTATACTGTTTCAGTTGTTCTATATTCCATCTCTCAAGGATTTCTAGTTTTTCTGAAAAGAGATCTACAAAAAGTGTCCCATGATGATTGGATGTATTTAGAAAAATGTAAACAAACAGGATTCACAAAAGAATATAGTAAGATAAGCTAAACAATTCAAACATTGTATGACTGCCCTCACAAGCTCCTAGTTATCAGCATATTCCTTCTAAGTTTTTTTTAAAGATGTCAACAGTTTCACACAAAACGAACAAGTTGTGAAAGCTGAGCAGACATGACCAGAGTTTACTGCTAAAAAAATCAATTTATAGCAAGGTTAATTGCATATATATTACATGCTTATGTTACACAGTAATTAAGCCTAAAAAGCAAATGGCTCATGTGTAAGTGACTATATTTAATAATACTCTGACACATTCAAACCAAATTTATGATTTTTCCCTTTGCTAGTTTTACACTTGAGCTATGTTGACAGTTTTCTCTTACTGTGTAGAGACAAATGTCCCAGTTAAGAATTTCCAACAAGGGATCCTGCCAATAGCCAGTTTTCCAGTCAGCAAAACCTGGGAATTATGGCTTGAATCACCTGTTACTGGAGAGGACCTGGGTAGCATAGGCTCTAGTCCTTGTGAATAGGACTAGAAGGAACTTGAGGATATAATACTCCTGACAGAAAAGCTCAGTCTTGGCTCTAAAAGGGAGTGAATGAAAAGGACAAAAGAAAAGAAAAAGTGTATGGTAAGGGAGCAGGAAGAGAAGACAGCAGTAGGGACAATGAGGACATTTTGAATCGGAGAGCTTGAGATGTTTTGAGGCCACAGGAATAAAATATGGTTCAACAACATTTTTAGGGCAGGGTTGTATAACTGATCACAGTGTTTCAAATGTGGTTTTGAACAAGTCAAAAAATGATTTTTGTGACCTTAGGATTAGAAAACAGAGTTGATCTAGAACTCAAAAAAGACATATATTTCTTAAAGATTTCCCTTGTGGTCTGTCTCTAACCCTAATCCCAAATATAAAAGTAAGGAAAAACATTAATCTTAAAAAATAATATAAGTCGGGCCTCCCCGGTGGCGCAGCGGTTGAGCTCTGGGTTGCGAAGCTGCCCGCGGCCTCTGCGGCGCCGGTTCGATCCCCGGCTGCTCCCCGGCCACCGGAGGAGGGTCCCACATGGCGCGCAGACCTCTCCTGCCGCCCGCTGCTCCCCTCAGCAGTGTCCTTCGGTCCTTCTGCCTGCTCTGCTCCCCACTCTGGCTCTGGTGAATTCTCTCACCCTCCCATGCTTCTGACTGTGCCCAGTGCATGTAAAAACAAAACAAACAAAACAAACAAATAAAATAAATAAATAAAACATGCCTCTATAAAAAAAAAAAAAAAAATAAAAAATAATATAAGTCAACTCACTCACAGATATATCTTCCTTTATTTTTTTCACTGAGGGAGAAGAAGAAAAAATGAACAGCAGCAACCAGCTTCATAATTTCCTCCATTACAAACTTTACCTTCAACTTTACAAACATAAAGAGAAATGTGTATTGTGGAACCATGCGACTATATGGATTTAGTGGAAACATTAATAATTTGACGTTTATATTGTTTCAGGAAATATACTTATGTAAATACATATATATTTCAGTGGTAAATTAGTAAAATGAGTATTGAACTGAAAACATGTTAGAAATCACTGGCCCCTTTTGAAAAATGAGTTTATGTCTACACAAGACTCTGCTGTTTCTTCTGTAGGCTGATTATAGAACTATGGCGAGGAAAACCAAGATTCACAGGAAAGGAAGAATGTAAAAAGTTTTAAGTTACTTACATTATTACAATAAAATGCATAAAATACTCCAGAGACATAGCAGCCCAGTATTCCAATAGAAATTCCTGCATAATCTAATGCCATCCATCTTCGACAGGTTTTTTCTGATCGATGGCAAGAAAAAAGATGATACCCCACAGAGCAAAGCATACAGACCTTGGGAAAAGAAAACAAAACTTAGCAAAGTGGAATAAAAAGAAACTAAAGTAACTTATTCAAGATGTTCAGGGAACTAGACCTGGGCTTGGATTCCAGCTCTATTTTTTTTTTTTTAGCTCTGTATGTTAAAAGTTGGGAAAGCTACTTCATTTCTCTGAGCCTGTTTCCTCATGGAAAAAAATGGAAATGATCATAAAAAAGTTATAAATAACAGTTATTTTATAATATAAAAAATTAAACAGCACAGTAGTGAGAAAATTACATAATACAAATGATTTTAAAATATCAACTGAGGCTTACTGCGATCCATTAATGAGTTTCCTTTTAAAAAAGCATTTACTATAGAAATAATACAAGTCTTTAAAAAAAATAAAAGAACATAACATTGTAGGATGTTAAAAAAAAAAAGGCCTCCTCACTCAATCTATTCTCCAGAGATATCTACTGGATACCTCTTCCCATATATTTTCAATAAATACATCAAACATCTATGACACAGAAGTCTATACACAAACGTATCCAAGCACATGTGATATATATATACTTTTAAAATTAATCAAATGGACACACTATACACTCTGTTCTGTAACTTGCTTTTTCACTTAAGACTTTTCATGTCCGTATGAGATTTCATAGTAAAGTTTACTTTTAAGTTATAAGTTAAACCAGCTTTATTGTATCTAAAAAAAATAAGTATTACCCATGCTGACTTTACATGGTGGTCAAATTGAGAGCAAAGCTAAAAATCAGCTGCTCTGATGATTGATAAGTGTTCTATGACTCAGTTCCTTTCAACCATTAAAAATATGTCATGTGTCATGTCCTGGGGATACAATGATGAAACCGCTAATCTCAAAGAGATTTTTTTTTTTTTGAAATAAGTGAACAAACAGTGATGTAAGACGTACTATATGAGAAGTCTGAGCAGAGCACAATTAGAAAATAGTACTGGCTCTGTGGGAGTATGTGTACATTTGAGGGGTAGGAGGAAAAGAGCTTCAGGGTTATCACCTGAGCTGGATTTTAAAAGATTGACCTGGCTTTCATCAAGGATACAAATAAAAATGTGTACAGATATACTAGTGAGTGTCAGAGGAAAAGCAGCATACTGAAAAACACAGTCACTAAAAACACAGAGCCACTAGAATGTCATGCGGTCATCATGATATAATTATGACAAGTCCAGTATATTAAGAAGTTTTAACTTCAGTGTATGGGCTAAGTGTGACACTACTGAAAATTTTAAGTGTAACGTTACCAAAAGGCTGAGACAGCAGATTACAGGAGTAGAATTGGGGAGCAATGAGAAGAACTACATGAAGACAGTGACAGTGGGGTTGGAGAAAATGGATCAGATAAATGATGTGAAGTAGGTAGGTGAAATTGCCACACATTTTGTAAGCAAAATGGTTATCTATGTTATAACCCGGTCACTAAACAAATGTAATCAGATCTCATTGCCTCAACATCAATATTTAAAACAATGTACCTAGCCACAACCTCTTTTCTTCAACTACTGTCTAAATTCCTTAATAGCATGTGGCTTTGGTTACTAAGCTATAAGTTAAGAGTTTACTGACTCAACTAAACATAGCTCTAAGAAGTTTGATTATTTTCCTCAGATTATTTTGAAATTAAAAACAGTAAATTCAGTTTACATCAAGTTATATATTTTCTCAATGACAGCTCATGTTATAATGCTGAATGTCACAAATAGCAAGTGGAGATAGTCACTGCTCAGAAGTGGGTAGACAAGCAGGCAGGCTTGAGGCATGTATCTGTATCCATCCATCCATCCATCCATCCATCCATCCATCCATCCATCCATCCATCCATCTTTCTATAGATCTATCTATATCTACACACACACAAATCTCAGGGGAAATTTTAATCCAAATATCAATATTATTCCTCTGAGAAGAGGAATTTCAAGTGACTATTACTTTCTTTCATGCATTTTTTTTTTGCTTGCTTGAGTTTCTACATCAGTATGCCTTATAATACTAATAAGAAACAATAATAAAACTAATTTCACTGTGAAGTGCAAAATAAAAGACTAAAGAGATAAACTATAATATCAAATGGAAAATAAAATATATAGTGTTAATAGAGAACCCTGACTTTTAAGACAGCCAACCTATACTTAGCATGTCCTATTTTTAAAAAGATGTGTTATTTTTAAGAATTCCTCAAAAAAATTGACTGAAAAAAGTACCTGGGAAAATGCGTATACTTCGGTTTTTGGGAAAGTTTCCTCTGGGAATGTCTCACTCCATCATGGTAAACAGATAATTACAGTATGCCACCCTATATCTAAGTTTCTTGGCATGTTAACAAAGTACTGCAGGATCTGGCTGCTGCCTATCTCTTCAGTCTCATCTTTCCAACTCCTAGGACTCAACTACAAGACTGGCAAGTCCGGAAAGTGATTAACTGTCTCTTGCTTCTGGGCTTTAAGACCAACTATGTTTTCTGCCTAAATGCCCTGTCACATTCCCCTTTTACTCTCTTACCTGGGGGGCTTGATCTTAATGACAGACTGGTTTTGTTTAGCACTGTATGCCAGATGCCTAGCTTAGCACCTAATTGTAGATGAGAGGCATTCGAAAAATATTTGTTGATCTGAATGTAAGTGAATTGAATTTAGGGTTAAGGTGTCAGATTCTAATTTTCTCTGAGACAGAAAGACTTCTAGGAAAGTTCAAAACCCCTGAAATTACATTTAGAATATAAGATATTTAGAATATATTCTATTAATCTGGTTGGGATAAAAGTGGTGAGTATATAAAAAGGGTAGAAATGAGAAAAAATGCTATATAATTTAAAAAATGGAAAGCAATGTTAATAAATTATATTTGTTTTACCATGTTGCTGAGTTCAGGATTTGGGAAAATTGTATGAACAAGTTAAAAATACAATTTCATATAAATAAAAATAACAAATGGTATATTTAAGTAAGGAGTCATCTGTCTTCAGCTTGTTGTTCAGTGTATCAACATAAAGATCATTACACTGGCAGTTTTCACTGTCCTGCTGAATAATCTTGGGCATGTCACTGTAGTACTTTTGGTGTTTCCTCACTGGCTCTTGTTGTAAGTATTTCATCCTTTTGTTTTTGCAACACAATCATTATTTTCTTAGGCCAATATATTAGTTAATATAAATTCCCTGAGCTGACACCAGCTGTAGATGGGTGGTGAGAGATAAAGGCGAACCTTGGAGAACCATGTGGGATTCTTACATATAAATAATATTCATAAAACTAATAATAGAGTATAAATCAGCTTTTGCTTATTAATGGTTATTAAAAGTATCTTAGTCTAATTAAGATACATCCAAAAATTTAAAAAATTGATTACCATTTAAAAACTGGAGATGTATACTAATGAATGTTTAGGCTTTAATCAGTACAAAACTGGAGACTGAGTAAGTATACCTTATAGCGTTATTTTTTCCCTTAAAGAAAGTGAAAATATCGTTCCAAAACAAGGGGAAGGGAAATGTTACTATATGTTTTTTTAAGTTTGAACTAAAGTCAAATGATAAATGTCTAAAATTAGTTATAATAAAGAAAGCAACACCTGATCAAATCACTTATAGATTCACCTCTCAGAGTAGCAATAGCTAAACGTGAGGAGTGCTGACATGTATTTGGTGGAGGGTGGATGACAGCCTTTTCCTTCTGTTTTTATGTAATCTCTGCATTTTTTTTCCTGAAGTGTTTAAAATGTCAACAGGATGTGGCCCACATTTGTTTTCTTTGGAATTATCTGTTTGAAAACTCAAATGCAACTTTTAAAGACACTTTTACAGACCCCTGAAGAAAAATGAAAGTGCTGTGGAAGTAATAAATACAAGAAATACAGAGGAGAAAGTGTTTGAAATAGACAAGTGTAAAAGGACAAGGAAAATTAACATTAAAGCAAGAAAAAAGATAATTACTAGCGAAACCAAATTTTAAAACTAAGATGCTTTGGAAATGACAAATATAAAAAAATCAGACACATAAATAGAAAAAGATTAAAAATCTTTCCAAATAATTTAAGCAGGTACTACTCTCCTACTTTAGCCAAATAATAGAGAATAATCAGATTCCTATCCTTGTATTAATCTTAAAGCAGGGATGTCTTAAAAAGGGAAAGAGAAAAGGAAAGAAATTTTCTCAATCTTTAGAACTTGCTAAATTTCAAATATACCCAAGGAATAACATCTATATATACTCTCAAAACATACTTTTGGTGCTTATATTATTAAAGCAAATAAATTAATGTCTGCTATTTTAGGGCTCCTTAAAGCAAGCAGTGGGTGTGAAATCAAGTCACCTGCCCCAAATGGTCTGAGTCAAGTTTTCTTTACCAATAAGAGTGTTGTGAAATGACTTACCTGGAAGCAGAAAAGACAAATAGAACAAATTACAAAATCTTCTCTGGATGCACTTGCTGAAGGTAATACAGATGTCATGTCATATATTCCCAGGGTGAAGAAGAGAAAGAAACCCAGCAAATGACTCCAGATGTTGACTGTTTCATTCGACAAAATAAACAAACTACAAAATAAACAAAATGCAACTCATATACATGCTGGCTCACTCACCGTCAGAATTCAAAGGGTAGGTAAATTTTTTGGGAAGTTATGTAACAAATGCTACTTTAAGCACTTAAGCCCATCTTTGCCTTTCTAAATTTGATATATTATTTAGTTTAATCTTTAAGTTTTTTTGGTTCTCCACCAATCCTAAGATCTTAGAGCTTTTCTGGTTTTTACCTCTATTTTCATACTTCCCATTTCCTTCCTCAGATTAGTTATTTATGACTAATTCATTTCATCCTTCAGCCTATCGACTTTTTTTTTTTTAAAGATTTTTTTTTAATTTATTTATACAAGCACTGGGGACAGTCAGAAGCGCGGGAGGGTGAGAGAATTCACCAGAGCCAGAGCGGGGAGCAGAGCAGGCAGAAGGACCGAAGTACACTGTTGAGGGGAGCAGCGGGCGGCAGGGAGGTCTGCGTGCCATGTGGGACCCTCCTCCGTTGGCCGGGGAGCAGCAGGGTATCGAGCCAGCGCGCAGAGGCTGCGGGCAGCTTCGCAACCCAGCGCTCAACCGCAGCGCCACCGGGGAGGCCCTATCCACTTTCTAATTGCTGTAACCACTCGTCTGTATGCCAACACCATTCTGAGCACAGTGCTTTACTCAGTTTATATGTTAAATGTCACAGAAGTGAATGCAGATTAAAATTGAATATAGCGTGCCTCCCCGGTGGCACAGCGGTTGAGCGCTGGGTTGCGAAGCTGCCAGCAGCCTCTGCAGCGCCGGTTCGATCCCCGGCTGCTCCCCGGCCACCGGAGGAGGATCCCACATGGCGCGCAGACCTCTCCTGCCGCCCGCTGCTCCCTTCAGCAGTGTACTTCGGTCCTTCTGCCTGCTCTGCTCCCTGCTCTGGCTCTGGTGAATTCTCTCACCCTCCCGGCTTCTGACTGTACCCAGTGCTTGTATGAATAAATAAGTGAATCTTTAAAAAAAAAAAAATGTAATACGTTTAAAAAAAATAAAATTGAATATAGCTAGCACATTCTGATGTTCAGTAACAGGTATCTGAGAATCTGCTAAGAGTAGTATTAGGCACAAGACTAAAATAACCTTATAGTACTCAGTGCTAATGTGAAGTTACATGGACTTAAGAGAAACAAAATAAATATAAATTGATCCTTTGGAAATGTCCTTTAAAACAAGCATGCTGGATTTACTCTCCTTTGGTTGTTCTGAAACCAAAACTAATTTCCCAGTGGCATGAGTTTATCATTTTTAGGAACAGTGGGAGGTTATTTTTATTTTCTCTCTTTGAAAATGCTCTGAATAACTGGTGGAAACTTATGTGGTCTTGGCAGCACAGGTTGGTGGAAGGTACACCATACTGAGAAGGAGTTAAGAGACTCATTGTCCCTTCCCCACAGTTGGTCACAAACTAGCTCAGTGATCACCAGGAAGTCACTTAACTTCTCTGGCTTTCATTTCTTCATCGATAACACAAGAGAGCTGGATTAGATGATCCAAGTCTCTTGTAGCTCCTTCTTTAATTTTGTGAAGTGGTTCTCCATCTATGGATAGGACTCATCTGATTATCTATCAAAAGGTGACACCATGACTAAAAATTAAAAATTCTCTTGCAAAATATTTTTGTGTACATATTTTGACCTTTGGCCTTCATGGATTTAAAATCCTTACTGGTAAGGATTACTGTATAACTCTAAACTACTGAATCTGCTACAGTCATTGTGGTTCTCACTTTCTCATGTCATAAACATAGCATGTCATACTATCACATGATCATCATGAATAAGTAAATCTTGTATTATGAACTTTAGGCTTTATCCTGTACACGTATCAGGTATAAAAACGACTTACCTGGTCAAAGAAATTGGAAAGGAGGATGCAGAAATATGAGGGAAAACATCTAATTACAGGACACTTGACAATCAATTCTATGCTCTGCCTATTGGCGTGAAAACTTTTCCTTGTGGGAAACCCAGTATAATCTGGTTAATTTAACAGAGATGGATAATCTTGGGGCTACTTCCAAATAATGTTGTATTGGTAGAATAGCTGTGACATACAAAACACTTCCTTTTATCCAAAATTTGTCTTGTTTAGTTTGAGAGCACAAGTGTTGATAATGGAAAAGACCAAGCTGGTAGAAAGAGCATTTAGAATATCCCCAGTAAAGGATATACTCTTATCAGAAATAAGGCCATACTCTGGCTTCGAAGTCTCATTTAATCTTTATTACTTTTTGAAGAAGATATTGTGATTACCCTCATTTTTACAAATGGGAAAAATAAGACTCAGAGAGGTTAAAGTTCCAAAGCTGTTAAATGGCAGCTTTAAGTATTGGATCAAGGGCCCAAAATCTAGAGCACTGTACTTCATTTTTTATTCCATGATATAAGGACTCAAACATCAGAAGGCAGAGGACCACCATTAAGTGGGTATAAAATATTTAAGGCACTACTTGGTCCATCCTTGTGGAACTCCCCATCCACAGCACTGTCCAGCCCTGAATCTTGTGTAATTACTTAGGCAGAGGTGGCACTGGGGAGGAAAACAGCAATTGGGATTCAAATTGTTGTCCTATAGGCCACCAACTGAAGCCAAGTAGGGATGGAGAGTGATGCCACCTTGTGACTGTGAATCACAGAAGCACGTTCAAGGCAGGGTAAATGGAACTGGGGGAAGACTATGCAGAAGATCATTAAGAATTAGAAACGTGGTTACTTCAACTCAAAAGCCCACATTCCCACCTTAGGGTTTGCCACTATGGTGACCTGGATCTACCCAACATCTGGATCTGAATTCTCTCAAAATGGGATCCTGTTTTTAATGAGTTGTAACACAAAGTTATTCTAAGAACTAGACCACAAATCTTTCAGTTCTGTTTTTTTTGAACCCAGACTTTCAAGGACTCTTAGAGATGCTTCTATGGTGTTTTAGTGGAGAGTGTGTGCCCATTATAGGTTCTCTTTGCTACAGTGATTTTCCTACACAGCATTTCCCACAATGGTTATTGTGTAATAGTGTAATTATTTCCTTAATGTGTGTCAACCTGGTAAGAGCTTATTTGTTTCACGAGGACAAGGGCCATGTTTGCTGTTTTTTGCATGACCTGGTATAATGCCTTGCACTGAGCAGGGGATCCATAGTATCTGCTGAATAAATGACTCAGGAGTGGACGGAAAAATATAAATATGCATATATACATATATTATATATAATATATATATATATATATATATATATAATGGCAATGTGAACTTGTTTCCTATCATACAGACAATTATGTGGCTCAAAGCACCTGAATTTCCACAGGACTGCACTAAAAGGAAACAAAGCTTAGCCATACACGGAGGCAAGTAGTACTCAACTCAGCCATTGTCAATGGGATCGATTACAACATATATGCCGATAAGCAGCAAAAGGAATAAAGGTAAAGCGCTCTGTAAACAGTCCAGCGCCGTTGGAGAGTTGGTAATTATGATCATTGTTACTATCATTATTATTCCGTGGATCAAGTACCTCGGCGGGGTAGTAGGAAAGATAATGAGAGGAGAGATGGCAGAAAGAGATGCAGCGGATGGGGCAGCAAGGAAATCACGGGCACCGAAAAAGCAGCATAGAGACCAGACAAAAAGGGTGTAGGTGAGGAGGAGGGGCCGCCGGCGCGCCCCCCAGGAGCGCCCCGCGGTCAGTCTGTACCTTTTGATACACAGCCTGGAAGGCAGGTAGGCCCGGTAGCCATCGGTGATGTACGGGTTGTCCTTGAGGGACACGGGGATCTGCTCGTAGGTGTAGAGGCGGATGCCGCGGGGCACCAGGACCGGCCAGTACTGGTAGCTGCCCAGCTCGATGTAATGCGCGCTCTTCAGCAGCTTCTGATGCATCCTTCCCGGCCGCCGCCGCTCCCCGCCTAGGGAGCGCGCCCAGGCCCCGCCTCCCCGGGGAGGGGGCTTCGCCGCTGCAGCCCCCGCCCCGGAGCCCGCGACGCGGCGCGAGGTCCTACGGCCCGGCCGCTGGCCCGGCCCGGCCCGACTCCGCGCACACACTGGCCACCGCCGTCGCGCCGCGGCGGACCCGGCGGTGTCGCAGCCCTCTCTGACGTCAGCGCGCCGGGCCGGCCCCGCCCCTCGGCCCGCGCTGGGCGGACTGGGGCCACCTCGGCGCCGGCGCCGGGTGCTTGACTGTCGGGCGGCCCCGCTCGCCTCTTCGCTTGCCCTGAGCCTCGCAGCCTTGCTGAGCTCGGTTTTGCACCTCTTCCGGGACGAGAGCACACAACTGTATAAGCGAATTCAAATTTTTTTTCTTTTTTTTGTTTTTAACTGGACGCGATATTTGTTACATTTTGGTAAAGAGTGAACTGAAAGAAAAATAAGAAATCGAGCTAACTCTTCACTGCTTACTTTATGTTTGGAATCTCACACACTGGTGTCAGAAGGGACCTTTCAGGTGTTCTATGCTAATCCTTGGAAGTAGAAATAGAGGAAACCTGTTGTACGTGCAATATTTGCCAAAATGAAGCACTCACTGAGCCATAACCATCCAACAAGTTCAAAACACCCAAACCATGTAGAGTGTATTCTCTGGGCACAGTAGAATTAAACTAGAAATAAGCAAGAACACTAAAAATCTCCAAATATCTGGAATTGAAACAAAACAAATATTTCATAGTTTAATGAAGAAAACACAATGGAAATGAGAAAATCTACCAAACCGAAAGCACATACCAAAATTTCTGGGATGCTCCTAAAACAGTGCTTAAAGGAAAAGTTACAGCTTTGTGTTTGATGAATTATGCAGATGCTTATTCATAATGCAAATAGAAAACATAAATCCTTGCATCCATCTATGTAGAACACTTAGCCCACTGTTTAGCATACAGTAGTGACCCTGGTATCTATTATTTTATTGTTATATTAGTAATACTGAGAAGGTATGGGGTAGTGGTAAGTGCTGGACTTTGAAAGTCATACTACCTGTATCTTTGTATAAGACTTAAACTCTCTGAGTCTCAGTTTTCTTAATTGTTAAAATAGGGATAATTACAGTACTTTTTGTTGTGAGGATAAAATGAGTGAATCCATATAACACTTTTGGGAAAGTGCCAGACCTATTGTTAGCATGCAAAATTTTAGCTAGCATTAGAGAATATATATTATTAGACATGATTTCTAATAGATAAAACCTGAAAGCTAAATTAACATATAGCCTAAATGGACTTATGTTTTACGTTAAGAAATTGAGTCTTTAAGCCATGGAACTAAAACATTTTAAAGACTAAATTTGCCCAGTTCATTATCTTTACAGAAGATTACTGTGTACAAGATTTCTCATTTCCTAGGGGAGGAAAATCATGCCTAAGAATGCCTGCCACTCCCAAACACCTCTTCTGGGAGGCTCTTTCTGCATGTGTTCTTGCTGAAACCTCATTTCAGTGTATTGTGGCTACTGCTGACCCAAAGGTGGATCGTGAGATTCCTAACACAAATGTCCATACAAGAGCCATGGTAATTAGCTTGACCAGTTTCTTTCTGGGGAATTTAAACTGGAGAAATAGGGAGTCTATAGCCTGATCTTTGAAACAGAAAAAGAAAGATGCTCAGAGATTATGAGAGATAGAGAAAGTAGCTAGATTATGCTTCTGATAGGACAGACGCTTGAGTGATGAAGTAAGAATGGCAGCTGCTTTGATTGTCAATAATGTACTTAAGAAATCTTTCGCAAAATGACTTCTGGCCTGATATAAGTAACATGGCCCGTTTCAGTTCTCTCTAGTTTATTCATATGGCTTAATTTTTACATTAAGCATTCTTTAATACTCCACTTAAGAAACGTTTATTTTTATTTATTTCTTTATTTTTAAGATTTATCTATCTATGTATACAAGAGCTGGGGTATAGGCCAGAGATGCAGGGCGGGGGATGGGGGGGGAGGTGAGAGGCTTCACCAGAGACGGATTGGAGAACAGTACAGGCAGACTGACTGAAACACACTGGTGAGGGGAGCAGCGGACTGAGACAGGAAAGGTCTGCTTCGCCATGTGTGCTGCTCCCTGGTGGGGTGGGGATCAAACCGGTGCTGCAGAGGCTGCGGATTGCTTCATACTGCAGTGCTTAACCCCTTGCGCCACCAGGGAGGCCTCAAGAAACGTTTCCAAAATGAAAATGCATACATTGTGCAAAAATGAAAAATGATGTAAGAATTATAGAAAATAAAATATATTTAAAAAAATAAATTCTACTTATGTCATGGATGAAAAGACAGATACAGCAACAATCCATGTCTGAACCCTAGAAAGAGAAAGAGGTCTATGAGCAAAATATAATAATTGAAAGAGCTCTTCCTCTCAGATCTGTAAGAAATAGAAGCAATAACAGCACTGCTTTGGGGTACTTCCAATAGATGAAAACACAAAGGGGAGAGGGCACAGTTCTACATGGACGACCATGGAATTCTGGCATTTTGAGGGCTCTGGTTGTTTCGTCATGATGCTTGACATAAGATTTCATGGCATGTCTGATTCAGTAACACCTGGTGTTGGCTGAAGCATCCATAGCTGCATCAGCAGGAGGCCGCAGTGCCCTTGAAGTGACAAGATAGCAAACTGACCTGCTCAGCAAGAGATGGTGAGCCAATGACAGCACTCCTCACGAACACCTACCTATGAGACATATTTTAGTTCTCAGAGACATTTGCAGATTTGGGTGTGTTAGGGTGGGGTAGAGATGATGTTCTCAAGTTGCTGGAAGGCCAGTATTTTCATGAGGGCCCAGGGCCAAGAAATTTAGAGTTTTTACTGTTGCTGTGAGTCAGTCTGTATGTCATAGGCATGTATGGTTTGAGAAAACTCAGATTATATTTTGTTTTATAGGATGATTTTCAGTGAGCTGGCATAGAGAGATATAGGGGCTACATGGAGCATTTGGGGTGAGTGAAATTTTTTTCTTTATATATATATTTATTACATCATTCTTCATATTTGTACAATATATGATTTCCCTGTGAAATTCCCACCACCAGTTCACCCATGCACCATAGTCCCTTGTGCTCTTCCCACCCCGTCCCAATCCTTCTCCCTCCTCCTCCCTTACAGAATGTCTCTGATCAATACTTACCTGTTGATTTTTTTTAAAGATTTATTTATTTATAGAAGAACCTGGGTACAGGCCAGATGTGTGGGAGGGTGAGAGGATTCACCAGAAACAGAGCAGGGAACAGAACAGGCAGATTGACTGAAACACACTGCTGAGGGGAACAGCGGGCGAGACAGGAGAGGTCTGCTGTCATGTGGGTTGCTCTGTGGCCAGCGGGGATCGAACCGGCACTGCAGAGTCTGTGGACAGCTTCACAGCGCTGCGCTCAACTGCTAGCTCCACCAGGGAGGCCCTGCCTGTTGATTTTGATTTGTACTTAATTATAGTTACATTTTTTCCCTGATCCCTTATTTGGTTCCTCTACCTTCCTCCTATAAATGAAACCATCTGAAATTTTTTTTTTCTTTCTGGCTTATTTCACTGAGCATAATCCCTTTCAGCTCCCTCCATACTGCTATGAATGGCATGGGTTTATACTTTTTGATTGCTGAGTAATATTACATTGTGTACATATACTACATCTTCTTGATCCAGTCATCTATTTTTGGGCATTTGGGGTTTCCAAAGCTTAGCTACTGTAAATAGTGCTGCAATAAACATAGGGATGCAGGTGTCCTTTTGAATTAAATTTTTTTTGTCCTTTGGTTAGATACCCAGGAGTGGAATTGATGGATCATATGGAAGCTCCATTTTTAGTAGTTTGAGGAACCTCCACACAGCTTTCCATAGTGGTTGAACCAGTTTGCATTCCCACCAGCAGTATAGAAGAGTTCTTTTTTCTCCACATCCTCACCAACACTTGTTATTGCTAGTTTTTTTTTTTTTTTTAAATATGTGCCATTCTCACTGGTGTAAGGTGATACCTGAGTGAGATGTTTTTTCCTTTCTTCTTTTCTCATGGCCTTCCCCCCTTTGCCTCCTCCCTCTCTCCCTAATTGTATGTCCTTTTTGCATTTTTTACAACTCTAATGTTATTGGAGTGAAATTTCTATAACATAGAAGTTTTCATTTATTGAGTTATGACTGTGTGCCACATGTATTCCTAGATGCTAAGAAAACCAGCATGAATAAGATGTCTTTTGCTTAGTCATCTTTACAAATCTCTGCAGCATTGACATTTTGACTCCCCTTTTCTTCAACCCTTAAACTCTTTAAGTACTTCTTGGACAACCATTATTCCATTATTTGAATTTTTTCCTTACTGCATAAGCCTGTCTAGCCCAGGGACTTTTGATAGCAGCTATTTCTCTACTTGACATTTACCAGGGTGTTTTTCAGGGATTTTTTTTCTTTAGATTTTTCGTTATGTTTTATTTTACACCCCCTGTTTTCATGGCTTCAGTTACTATCCATAAGCTGGTGACTCTCAGTTTCAGATCAGATCTCTTTCTGAGCATCTGGATTCACGGATAGAACTGGACATAGAAACATGAGATATTAAGAATGAACTCAGCAAAGTTTCTTCCTAAAACTGTTTTTCATTACTAAAAGCCTACTCAGTCTCTTAAGCCTTGGATTTGTATTTCTTTTCTTGGCCCCATTTTCTCAGTACCACCTTACCTACTTTCCTTACCTCAGTCAGTTCCTCACAACAGTGACTTTTATTTTTTTTTTTTTAGAAACAATGCCTTTTTTTATGGGTTATTTTTTTTTTTAATAGAGGCATGTTTTATTTATTTATTTATTTGTTTGTTTGCTTGTCTGTTTATACATGCACTGGGTACAGTCAGAAGCGCGGGAGGTTGAGAGAATTCACCAGATCCAGAGCGGGGATCAGAGCAGGCAGAAGGACCGAAGTACACTGCTGAGGGGAGCAGCGGGTGGCAGGAGAGGTCTGCGCACCATGTGGGACCCTCCTCCGGTGGCCGGGGAGCAGCAGGGGATCGAACCGGCGTCACAGAAGCTGCAGGCAGCTTCGCAGCCCAGCGCTCAACCGCTGCGCCACCGGGGAGGCCCTAATTTCTTTTTTAATGTTCAGATTCTTCTCTATTCCTTTCATTTATTACAATTTATTTGTGAAAGAACTCAAAGAATTTCTCATAGTCTGGGTTGTATTATTTACAGAATCATGACATGGTTCAGTATGTCACTCTCTGTTTTTTCCTGCAGTTCGGCAGTAGAACCCAGAGACTTCATTAGACCTCTATTTGATCCCTTTGGCTAGACTACACGTGGTAAGATATTTTTTCTCTGGGTTACATAATATCTGGGTTTTGTGTCGATTTTACCAGTCATTGAGCAAATAAATCTATTGTTCACTAATTGGACAACCAGTCATATTAGCCCATAAAAATTATATTCTAAATAAGCTGAAACATGCAGTAGAGCAGAAATCACTAGAGCTTACACGTGAGCTGTTTTCTCATTAGTCTGGAGTCACCAATTTTTAACCTGAACTGTATAGTTTTAGCAAAGTTTGGTGTACAGACTATGATGTTTAATCTCCAAATGACTGCGCTTTGAGAATTACATTTACCCCTCCCCCAACAAATAGTAAACATAGCTTGTTAATCACTAATGTACATTAAATATGTAACTAGAAGTCTTTTCAAATTTTTACAGTGCTCCATCACGGTGTTACATTTTATTTTTTTTTTTAAAGATTTATTTATTTATTTTATACAAGCACTGGGTACAGTCAGAAGTGCGGGAGGGTGAGAGAATTCACCAGAGCCAGAGCAGGGAGCAGAGCAGGCAGAAGGACCGAAGTACACTGCTGAGGGGAGCAGCGGGCGGCAGGAGAGGTCTGCGCGCCATGTGGGACCCTCCTCCGGTGGCCGGGGAGTAGCTGGGGATCGAACTGGCGCTGCAGAGGCTGCAGGCAGCTTCGCAACCCAGCGCTCAACCACTGCGCCACACATTGTTACATTTTAAAGTGTTCCATGTGAGTGCTTGCCTTGGTAGCACTGTCTTCTTTCAATGCCATTTGAAATCCACACTCAGCACTTAAAATTAAGTTTCTACAGCATCCTAAAAGGAGCATGAACTCTTGACCAAGATGGACATGAGGCTGGAACAGCACTACTCAGTGACAAGTTGCAGACTCTTTCCTGACCCTGACTTTCTCAAGTTAGATGAGGGTCATACTGAAAACCTAAATGAATTGATAGGTCTATCCATACAGTCAGGTAAAATAACAAAGAAAGTGAGTGCCATAGAAAAGACATCAATAATGTCCCATTTCCGTCTTCTGTGGCATTTAAAATTTCCTGAAGAATAGATTTCTAGGCATATTTATATATTTTGTTCATTTTTGTAGGGGACTGATAAAGATCATTTCTTGTCCAGGAGACATGAAAATGTAAATAGAAAATCTGATCCAAGGAAATATTCAAGGATAGTTGGTGCATTGTACCAGTTGACCTTCTTCAGATTAGGCACAGATATTAATATAAAGAAAACCAGCTTATGTCCCACTGAAAATGTCATCTTGGGACACAAACCCTATTGTCTTATTTCTTGATTTCTTATTTCTTGGTAATAAATATACATCTACTTCAATTCAGTTCAACTAAGTGAAAGAATTGTCTTCACTTAGACTGTGTTTTTAATATTTAATAATAAAATACTACAGTGGAGGAATATGGGGGCCTTGTTGGTGGGTGTGGTATGGTAACATATATCTGAAGAGGTGTGAGCATGTGCCTCTGAATCATATGCGGTGTTGTAAACCAGTGTTAACCTTAATAAAATAAAATTGTACAAAGCTAAAAGAAACAAAATCACTGCCAACCCAGCACAGAAACCTAAACAGCCACTTGCAGAATGGCCCAGAGCACAGGTCAAGAACTACTTGGAGAGGTCACCTCTCTCTAATAAGCAGAACAATAGCTTAGTAGTCAACGTGTATCTGATTTGAACTTATAAAATCTAGAAAAAGAAGTGATAGCTTTATGTTGTGACTATTTACTATGCAAAATTTTTAAGGAAAAAATGAATAATGACCAAAAATTGCAAGTTGACATAATTTTGCATTACTACAGTAATAATCAGAGAAAATGCAGAGATACTTGCATTTATCAAGAATTTAAAGGAGTTGTTCTATAAAAAGATGAGTGGGTATGTGTTCTTCAATTCTATGGAACTGTATAGAATTATGAACCAGGAAATAGGTAAAATGACAGAAATTGAAAAATCAAGGTCAACTCTGCTGTTTGGAGGTTCAGGAACCATAATGAGGAAGTTGTGTTGCACCATAAGACCCTGCCCAACTCAATATCATTTCCATTAATCTCATAAATGCTTATTGTTTCTTCAGAAAAACCCTATTATAATGTATTCCAGTTACCTTGGTTTAGCAACTGCTGTGGAATATTTTACCACATTAGCTAGGTGCTACCTAGATTAGAACCCTCAAGAAGTGATATATAGATAGTTTATTTTTGTTGGGAGTGTTGAAGATTATGGTTTCGAGCATAAAGTGTTTACAGAGAAGAATGGGGGAGGAGCTGTAACCGGAAGTGGGAGATAGCAAAGTCAAAGGAAGTAACACCTTGGAGTCTTGCAGGAACCTCAGAGGATGTATTCTTCAAGACTGGAAATACGTTGTATGCAAGCTAAATAACGCAGCAGGTACACAACAAAGATCTCTGAACAGATAAAGGAATGTTTACTCTAAAATGGGAGGTGGTCTCTATTCTGAGAGGAGTGATAGAAAAAAATCCCTAAACTAAATTTACATGCTTAACTAAGCTTGCCTAGGCCTGGGCTTGCTGAAAATTGTAGCACCACTGTAGATGTGGGAGGCTGTGGAATTTCTTTCTATAATGTCTTTAATAACAAGGCAGATTATTATCTATCTGGAAATGGTTCATACGAAGAGCAAATGATCTGAATAACTTAAATAGTTTTTGGCCTCATTCTAGGATTTTTTTGCTTTTTGTTTTTGAATTTCAAAAAATGCAATGCAAAAGCATGTATTGCCACCACTATCATCACAAAAGCAACAATAATAGTTATTTGTTGAGTGTTTATTGTATGTCATGCAGTGCTGCTGAGGACATTACCTGTGCACTGAGCATTTGATTTTTACATTTCCTTTTAATTTTGCCATGCAGTGACAAGTATGCCTGCAGATGTCACTCTTTCCCTGCAGAATATTACTACCATTTGCGCCACTAGTTAGAGCCTTACTCTGCCATAGAGTTTAGAAAGGGGTGATTTTAAAATTGATATATTAAGGATAAAGCAAAAATCAATTCCTTGTCTATATCTCAATTGAGATGCCTAGATATGAATCATCCTGCTAGAAGGTTAGATTTAACAAGTTTGTTAAAAATAAAAAACATGGTGATTTGGTTCACACTGATTAGCTTTGCAGCTTTACCTTTATTTAGCCTAGGAAAATTTGTTTTCTATTTTCCTTAGGATAAATATAACAAAGAATATTTTTTGAAAGTAAGCTTCAGCTGATGGATGAAAAGCTTCTCCCTTCCCCCCCCCTTTTTTTTTTAGCTCATTTTTGACTTATTTTCCCTCTGTTAGTCATTTTTGACTTATTTTCCCTCTGTTAGACTTATTTCCCTCTGTTAGACTTATTTTCCCTCTGTCTAGCCAAATCCGACTGGTTCCTGAGTTGAGGCACAGTTCTTGACCTTCTTTTACGTGGGCCTTCACTTTTCCAGTATGGTGTTATTTTCAGTATTCTCCCATATTTTTATTCTCAAAGTCTTCTTTTCTTTCTTTCTTTTTTTTTTTGGTCAGCACCTTTATTTGCTAAAGATATTCTGAGAACCTTCAAAGTTCCGTGCATTTTAATAAAGTTTCTTCTGTTACCTTCAGGGGAGCCTACATTTTAGCATCTTTCTCCCCAAGTAAGCCTGGAAAAGGCAGGACCTCCTGCTTACTTCTGTTTTTTCCCTTTATCTGTCTGGTGGTATTTCTGGCCATTTTCTTTTTCTTCTTTTCTTTACATAGCCAGAAATTATTTTCGTATAGCTTGTATTTATTTTCATTTTTATTTTATGGGTGTATGTAGTTATTACAGAAAAATCAGACAATATATATCATAAACAGACATAAAAAAGAAGATAAAAATCACCTATCATCCTATTAATAAGGAAATGATCTTTTGAGATCTGATTCAGTATCCTGCCTCAGGGATGAATTCCTAAATCTTCCAGGAAGAGGTGGTTGCCCTTCCCAGTACATTTACTGCTTCTGCCTGCTTTCTACAATTCCTTTGTTTTCTGTCAGCATCCAGAACTAGCTTTCATCTTGTATCCCTAGCACTTGGCCTGTTGCCTAGGATGTAGTAAATGCTCAATACAAGTGTGTTGGTTTACTAAAGTCTTTTAAAAAGAACTCCCTCTCCCATTTCTGTTCCTGTAAAACAAATATTAATAAATAGCTCATTGCAGAAAAGGGCTATGGATGCTTCATCGGTTAACATGAAAGGATGAACTTATGAATGAAATGCTTATCTTTTAGTTATGTTTACATATCATTTTGAGATACTATTATGTGGAATGTAAAGGGTAGGGGCCATATCTCATTCATGGTCCAACTTTTAACACACTGTCTGGTACATAATAGTACTTGATGATATTTTCTGAAATAAAATTCAAGAAGTTACCCACAAGTCACTCCAAGTGGTCTCAGTAAGTCCAGTAAGAAAAGAGCTTCATTTTTACACTAGTGCCTGTAATGTTCTCCCAAATAAATGTCTCAAACTAAATATCCCAGAGTGGCATTATTAGAGGCGGGCGGATGCAAGACTAGAACTAGGGCTGGTCCAATCTAAAGGGGTATCCCGTAACAGAACCGAGAGATGGGGTGCTTTTCTGTGTCACTTGTGAGGTTATAGGTAGTTCTCATTTTCCAGAGACAATCATTCAATATACACGTATCATCTTTCATCAGATAGTTTTGCTTGCTCATTCTCTAGCCAAAGTCTAGGGGAAGAATATAGGAGAATTTTGTAAAGATTAAAGGCCATTATAGTATATGTTTAATATGTGCATTACTCTGTCTTGGCTGGAAAAAAACACTTTTTGAGCAGGCTGTAATGCAACATGTAGTTGATAGGGGGCAGTGCTGGCAAACAAACAAACAAAAAAATGAAAGCGGCAAATTTCCCAAAGAGGGCGTCTTGATCAAATTTAAGGGGTCCTTTGGAGTCAATTGATGGAAATTTGTTGCTCTAACAGCAACTATTACCAGCAGCAGCTTCAGCACCAATATTAACGAACATCTATTTCATGGCCAGTGAGTGACAGCACCGATTTTTTTGAGCCCAACTCTACTGAATTTTAGTTGAGTATATTTTGTATTATACCATAAAATGATTTATTTCAATAGGCTTTTGTTCATTTGTTAAAAATAGTTATGTATTTTTCCTGATGTGAAGAATAGAAAATTTTCCTTATGAAGAATCAAATTTCAAGACATGGATGTTTAAGTAGACAAAAGTTGCTCTTATTTCAAGATCTCTCATCTATAAACGGTTCAGAATATATTTTATAGTCTATTATGCATAAACTTATACCTAGATTTTAAAATAGAAATAAAAATATATTATTGATACTTTTTCCCCAATTATAGCCCAATGTAGCGTGGACCTATACTTGCTCAATGCACTATCTGGACTAAAATGTTACCTAATTAGTGCAATTTTTTTGCACTAATACTTGTGGTTACTTTTAAAGGTTGGTTCTGTAGCTCCTAAGAATTATACTTCTTTTTTTTCCAGATTAGCATTATTGTGATTTTGGCCCTTTTAATTTGTAACACATGGTGTGATTCAAGCCACTGAGTCTTAGCATCTGTCAATGATAAGATCATTCTTTTTAGTGATATAAGGATAGTTGCCAATAATGTGGCAGAATTTGCTTTTCATTGTTATGTTATTATGACTGCAATAAGGAACTTGTGGGTAGTATTTTTTAAAATAAATTCCCACATAAAATTAAAAGTATGGCGGTCATTATTTTCTAAAGCAAAAACTATTCCATCCTCAAAGTTCGTATTCTAAATTGTTTATGTTGGTGCAGCTGAGCTGACATTACTGTCTTATATGTCAAAATGTTGTATGCTGCAGTCATAATGATGGAACAGAGCAGTCTTCGATAAGCAGTAGATGGAACCACAGTGATACACCCAGTAGAACTCACATTAGGAGTACCCTTGCTAAAGGGCAGTGACCTTTCTTGTTGGATACTATCGCTAATATGCTCTCTTTTTTTAGTTTTTAAAAAGATTTATTTATTTATACATACAAGAGCTGGGGTATAGGCCAGAGGTGTGGGAGGTGAGAGGATTCACCAGATACAGAGCAGGGAACAGAACAGGCAGGCGAACTGAAGTACACTGCTGAGGGGAGCAGCAGGCGAGACAGGAGAGGTCTGCTGTGCCATGTGATCCCGGACCGGGAATCAAACTGCAGAGGTTGCAGACAGCTTCATTGCGCTGCGCTTTACCCCTTGCGCCACCAGGGAGGCCCCTAATGTGCTGTCTTAAGGATATTTTTTTTTTTTCGAATGCTCTCTTACTCTATTTACAATTATTTTCCCTTTTAAATTTCATTCTTTTTAGCTTTTGTATGTATTTTTCTGATATGATTTATCTATATCTGATATGTACTATATGAATATAGTATTATTGTTACATATTGTATATGTAACACATATACACATTATATGAATACAGCATTATTTGTTTATAATGAATATATGAATACAGCATTATTTGTTTATAATGAATATAATACACATTATATGAATGTACACATTATATGAATACAGCATTATTTGTTTATAACATATGATTATGAAATATATATATATTTGTCATATTGGGCATATATGCTAAAATTTCTTCCCTGCTGACTTTATACTATAAAGTATATTCGAGACTACAGTACAATATTATGACTTTCTTTACTACAGGATCATTTGTTTTCTTCTTGATATGCCTGATTGCTTAGCACAAGGTCTGGCCTATAAGAGGCAGGTAATAAGTATTGTTGACTGTGTGGCTTAGACAGATCAAATCATGTGATTGTATTTCTCTTTATACATAGGAGATCATCTTAAGTTACAATTTAGTACATATTGCAGTGTATTGGGACACATCCGGGTGATCAAATAACTAGACTGTGGTAATTGGTCTAGATGCTATGTTTGGATGTATTAAAAACTGATTTGGCTTGCCACATTTTCCAGTAATCCGCCAGACTGATGAATTACCACAAAATAAATGGTGAGTATGATTGAGAAATTTTATGTAACTCTGAATTCCAGGATTCATTAGTCTTAAACATCATTCTGTCTAAGGTTTAGCAAATGACATCATCTCCGCAAACCTCAATGTCTAGATTTCTTTGTATTTCTTCTCCCTTAGATGAAAAGTTTCTTTGATTAGAACAATGCAATGATATGATCAGGGATGGAGAAGAGAAGTTCTAAAAAGGTCTGAAAAGGAGCTCATGTTCAACTGAAAGGTTAATCTTACTAAAGTTGCTTTTTTCTCCTCCATTTCATTAAGATAGCAGTGATGGGACAGAGGGTCACTGTTAAAACAGTTCCCCCAATTCAGTCCTTTATAGAACCTCTTCTTTGATTCTTTCTCACATCACTGCCATTTTCAGTATCCTTTTTATCATCATATAAAATAGGGCTAGTGGGTACTGAAAAACCACTTTTGACTGACCATATTCCTCTGTGTAATTTCTACCTGTGTAATTGTAAATACATATGTCTTTGGTGGTGGAGATAGTCATGTGCTGGCCAGGCAAGGTGAGGGGAGGACAGCATCATTGTTGTTCAGAACCACTCAGTCTGCCAGGTGGCAGGGAAGGTGATTTTGTCATCTTCAGTTTTATCTTCTTTATCATCCTTCATTGTACAAATAGATAAATACAGAAAGACAGGTTGAATACTGTTATAAACCATACGATCTTTCCGTCAGATTTTCCCAGGTCAAATTCAGCTTGAGGCAAGGCTGATGTTCTCAATCGTTTTTAGTAATATGGATAAAAAGAGAAGAAACTATGAATTGCTATAAATTTGGGTATATTGTCATATGAGTTAATGAGTCTTGATTTTTATTGATAAGACCTTTTTGTGCTTCCTACTCTTCACCCTTTCTGCCTAGCTTAAAATTATACTAACTGAAGATGTTCTCTCAGTGTTAAGCACCATGATATACCTGACCAATTTTGCAACAAAGGAAAAGCCAATTGTGGTATAACAGTTTTACTAGCAGGTGAGTTAAAAGTTATTCATATTTACTTCTTACTTGACTTACTAATTTTTCAAAAAAGATTTTAATTATCAATTATATATGTCAGTGATTTTTTTTTATAATGCATGGTTTGACATGTTTGGTTGTATGCTGAAGGTAGAATGTAAATCTTCCTCAGAATTATAGTAGAGATATGGCTTACCTCTATCAAGATTTAGAATGTACAATTTACAGCTATTATTGGGATAGTTATACTTTTTTCTTTATTGCCTAGAATTGGTATAAACCATATGCTACAAATGAAAACAGGCCAAAATATAATTCTATTTTTTTTGAAGCTCACTTAACTTCTGTTATAGTCTGTAGCTAACTTGAATATTGTCCTCACCCACCCATAATTCATGTCCTCTGAGAATCTGTGAGTATGACCTTATTTGAGCATAGATCTTTGCAGATATAACCCATTTAAGACTGGATTGGTATGGACCCCAATAAGAAAAGAAACAGAAACAGACACACAGAGGAGAAACATGAAGGTGGGGGCAGAGATTAGAGAGAGGCTCCTATAAGTCAAGGAAAACAAGGGTTGCTGACAACCATCAGAAAAAGCTGGAAGAGGCAAGGAAAAATTCTTCTCCAGAGACTTAATTTCACATTTACAGACTTTAGAACTATAAGAAAGTTAATTTCTGTTGTTTTGAGCTATACCTAGTTAGTGCTACTTTTTTTCCTGCAGATGTAGGAAACAAATACACAGTCCCTCGTAAGTCAGAGTTAGCAGAAAAGTAACTTTATACAGTTTGAGGAATCCATTCTCTTTCTCTGGAGTTGTATTAAGTAATAGAAAGATGTGATGTTGAGATGGGGTTCATTAGATCTTTAATAGCACAAGCCAGACTGTGTTCCTCAACTGTCTCTTGTTTGGCCTGCTTCCCACTGGTAGCTGCAGAGGTGACCTTTGCACCCATCTACATGGCCGCTTCTTGTCTGCACTTTCTCTACTGTTTTCATCCCACTCTGAAGTAACCAGGAATGGTTTTGCTGCTCCCATGCCATGTTGTGGTATATGTAGACATATTCTGTAAATATTTCTTTTTCGTAATGTTTTCACTTCCCAGGACTTTCGTAGGACAATAGATTGCAAATCTCTGCCCTTGAAGCCCATGAACCTATCTGGGCATGTGGCTACTTCTCCAGGACTTGTACCAAGGAATGACTCTGTGTTCTTTATTGATGTTTGTTCTCATTATTTCTGGTCTATGCCTCTGTCTTGGTCACTCAGATTGGCTAATATTTTTCTAACCTTGTTTTGAAGATGGGAGTGGGGTGAATTTTTGTACTGCTTTCTCTAATATAATTTGTCTATGTGTTGACTCTTTTTTTTCTTCTAAGGACCTAAATCAGTTTTTCTCAACTTGTGATAATTTTGCTCCCCAGGGTCATTTAGCAATGCCAGGAGACATTTTGGATTGTCACATCCAGGGAGTGGGAAGGATGCTACTGGCCTCTAGTGGGTAAGCTGAGAATGTTGCTAAATATCTTATAATGCACAGAACTGTCCTCATATCAAAGAAATATTGGCCCCAAATATCAATAGTGCCACTGTTGAGAAACCCAGGTCTAGTTTCTTGAAACAAAAAGCCTATGAAAGATGTTTTCCACTTTGCTTCTGCCAGCATATCCACACATCTTTTTGAAGATTTATTTATTTATTTATACAAGAACTGGGATACAGGGCAGAGGCATGGGAGGGTGAGAGAATTCACCAGAAACAGAGGAGGGAGCGGAACAGGCAGATGGACTGAAAACACTGCTGAGGGGAGCAGCAGGCAAGACAGGAGAGGTCTGCCGTGCCATGTGGGTATCTCCCTGGCTGGCTGGGAATTGAACCCATGCTTCACAGGCTGCGGACAGCTTCACAGCCCTATGCTCAACCCGCTGTGCCACCAGGGAGGCCCCATATAGACCTTTCTTGATGCATGAATACACTGTCCTACTTTTGAATGGAGGAAGAGCAAATAGTGAAAAGGATATATTAGATGGGAAAATTGACCTTTTCATCAAAATTATTCTGCCCTTTCTAGAAGGTGTATTTAAAAGTGTAATTGTATTTAAAAATCCCTCCCAACTTCTCTTATACATAAATTAAAATATAGAATGATATTAGTACTTATTGGGACTTATGAATTGGCTAGAAAACCAAACCACCTATTTAGGAGGGGAAAAAATCCACTGTGGTGCTGAAGCCTTCTTGACTGATTATCTAGAGCGCTCAGAAGAATAAAGCCAGTGCATATTTTAGCTAATTCATGCCAGACTATGAAGAACATTAGACTAAGAATGTATAAACATAGATTCCAGTCTTATTTATCTTACCAGCTCCTTGAGTAGGCCACTTCATTTCTTTGGGCATCTGTTTTTTCATGTGTTAGAAATTTAAATTAGATTGTCTCAGATAGTTCTTTCACTGAATTTTTATTTCTGATGATTTAGGACCAGTTTGTGAACATAAATACATTTTCATATATATATATGAATATATATGTATATACATAAAGTCTAAAATGAGCAATTGCTGATAGAGACACTGATAATTCTCTGAAGGCAGAGGTCATGTCTAAAAAAAAAAGGAGAACTCAGTGGATTATAAGTACAGTTATATATTTATTATGTATATATATTTAAAGGTACTCCTCGTAAATCATCTTTTTTTATGCTGTCTTCAGAAATTTGGAGGAGATTGTTAGTTGTACAATGAAATTTTTTCTCTTTTTCCATGAACACTTTGAAAAGAGTGAAGGGTAGGTTTTTAAAGGAGAGCCACCAATACAATGACTTTACAGGAGACTGACCACATTTTCCATATTCCCTTGCATTTGGGTGTGATTCAGTTCTCACTAGTAGATGTGAGAAGAAATGAATTATCTTTTTTTTAATATTTTATTTTATATAATTCTTACATCATTTATGCCAGAGCTGTTTGATGGAAAACACACACTTTTTTTATTTTAAGTCATGTTATTAGGTAGTTTTAATACAGCATAGCCTTTTACCACAGCAGAGGAATTTTCCACGTGACCGAAACAGCAAACTTCAAAAACATGTATTCTATTATACTGAGGTTTAGGTTCTAGTGTTGACTTTTAATGCCTCATTTTGAGTCACAGGGCAAGCGGACATCTTCTAGGTTCAGAATAGAATAGGAAAAAGTCTCAGAGGAATAAGGAAGTCTCCAGAGATAAAGGCAACAAATTCCAAAGGGGACTAATCAAACACCCCTGCAATAGGGGCAACAGGACATTTCCAGACAAGGATGATAAAGAAAAAGGGATCTAAGATAAGGACTGAGATGCAAGATGTAATTCTGGGCACAGAGACATTAAGACAGAGTGAGTGAGACCACAGAAAACTAACCAATCACAAAGAGACTGATAGGGCTATAGAATAATTAGGGAAAGAAGGTATATATTCCCTGAGGCACGACTCCACTTGGGCTTCCTTGCCCCTTTCTGGCCTGATCCTTGGGCCTGGGAGTCCTACTTTGTTTCTGTTCTTTTCCTCCATAATAAACTTTTCCTTATAGCTATCTCTCTAAACAAATTTGCCTCTTTTCACTTGCTTGCCTGAGAATCAGCGAAATTCCTGCTGTGACTTTGTGAGCCACCAACCCCTATGGTGGTCTAGTGGCTGGGACTCAGTGCTGCCCTTGAAGCCTGGGATCAATTCCTGGCTGGGTAACTAGGCCCGAAAACCTGAAATTATAGTATCAATTTCTAAAATAGAAATGGACTATTTTAAAGCAAGAAGATGGTATGTGCAGAATTCGTCTATCTTATTCATAGTCTTTTCTCATAAGACTTTCTACTATTTTCTCTTGTAAATTCTGTACTACACAACTGTACTTATAATCTACTGAGTTCCCCTTTTTGTTTTAGACATGGCCTCTGCCTTCAGAAAATTATCGGTGTCTATTTGCAATTGCTCAAGTTTCAGACTTAATATATTTCCCACATTATTATTCCTTTTACAGCTTTCTCTTTCTGGTCTCAATGCATTCCTGGAACATAAGGCATGTGACTGACTTCCCATGTGTCTGTGCAGAATTGTCTACAGCAGGCTTTTGCAAAGAGTACCTGGGAAAGTCTTCCTTCTTTTATGCTATAAGCAGTTAGCGCTATAAGAAGGTATGCTATAAGAAGCTATCTTTAATTGGAAAAGCAATAACTTCTTGCCAGTATTCTAAAAAAATTACTATCTTCTAGCAAGTATTCTCTTTGGCCGTTTGTATTGCCACACATCTGTAAGTATTATAGTAGCGATTATCAATTATTATGTATTCGTTCAGATATTAAACTAATTTTAACTGAAATGTTTTTATGTTAGGTGAAAATTTCACTTGTTTTAACTATGCAAATAGAAACTGTTTCATTGGGATGGGTATTAATCTAGACCATGAATAAGAGATAAATTGAATGTTTAATTTTATGTATGTTGAAATGTGAACAAATAGGTCTTTCTTCTGTTGATTTTTCCTCTGTTAACAGGCAGAGTTGATTAACTGAACTGTGAGCTGAATGGAAATGCTTTGATCACCTTGTCAACCTTGAATTTTTGCTTTCTTTGAATGGACCCATTTTAAATATTTTGCATAACACAACTTGCAATGCTGTTGCTATTTGAAATCACAATTCTTTCTGGATGACTAAGGAGATTTGAATTATAATGTTAGTTAAGTGACTTTTCTTTTATATGAACCTGGAATTAACTTTCCCTAACAATTTTAAATTGGTCCTTTGAGAGTGGGGGCTGGGGAGTTGTTTGCAAATAATAACTAATAATCTTCATATTAGTTTATGTAGACCTAGATAATAGATTTTTACATTTCAAGTGACCAGATGAGAATTCAAAACTGTACTTGCTTGCTGTGACATTTGGATTTGAACAGAAGACCCACCTTTCTTTTGATGTTCTGGGTAGGCAAGTGTGCATGGGAGAAAGTCACAGAATGTCACAGGAAGAAAATCCCCAATGGGGGACTTTTTGGAGGTGTTGCAATTGCTCTGTATGTTCTCTGTATTTTGATACACTGAGCAAGGAATGTTGATGAGACATGAGGCAGAACAGCTTGTTCCTCCACAGCTATTTTGACTTTGCAGTGCTGGCAGTAGTAAAAAAAAATAATAATAATAAAAATTTTTGAAAAGTTTACAGTGTTAACTAAGCAAACACATGGGGCTTGGAGGAAGGCTAGGGAACAGTTAGGCTATTCTTGGTATCAAGAACCCTATTGCTTAGAATTCCAGTCATGAATGCATAGTACTTGGAGTTCTACATTTCTCTAGATGTCCTTTATCTGGGGGTGTTAATAGGCACAAATGGTGTTGCTAATGAACTACAATTTAAGTTGTGTTCAATCAGCAGATTCAGTACAAGGAAGATGATTTAGAAGAAGAGATACCTGAAAGTATTCAGAATGTGATTGTGGAATCCAAATTAGTTAAAATAAATACTCATGCTTCTTTTGGCATTAATAATACAGGTTATCCTAAAGAAATAAAATATAGCAATGATGGAGGTTGATTTTGCTAGGTGCATTGCTAGAGAATTTAGAAGAAGAATGGAGTTTATAAAGTTCAGTTTTGTGAATTTTTACTGCTGTTTTTCACAGAGGTAACAGTGTGACAGTTTTGAGTTAAGGTTTTAAAAAGCATACCAAGTTCCCTTTGGCCTTTTAGGCTTTTGCCATCTGCCATGAGAAGAACATGCTGTAAGTAGCCTCAGCAACTTTTGCCTCAGTCCCAATATCAGGGATATGAGGAACATGAGCCAAGTTGAGCCTAATTGAGCCCACCTAACCCACTTCCAATGTGGAGATCTGTGAAGGAGAAATAATTTTTTTTTTAATTTTAACCACTGAAATCTGGAATTGTTATGTAGCATTTTTGCAGTAAAACCTGGCTATATTCAAGCTCTCTAATTTTAGGCTGTTGATATGTAAGAACCAGAGGCTTTTTAGCAGATCTTATGTCCTGTCCAGATTCGCTCAGTATGCTGGTTTCCCCAGTACTGCTGTCAGTGGTTCAACCGTGACACACATTGTCACCATCCATATTTGCTTCAGTGCAGTCAGGCTTACTGGTTACCATTCAGACAGAGTTTCTGATTCTTTTCATTACTTTTAGATTTGAATGAAACCCCATTTCTGGGTGTGGCATTTGGCATCTTAAGTGGCCACCTAAAGAACTGGATGACATTTTGGGGAAAATGTGGTCATGTTTATTCCCATGGAGCTAATTTTGGCCAATGGGAAACTGAAGGTAGAAGGAAGGAAGTAAACACCCCTGCCCCCATTTGTCTCTTTCCCATGGACTGTTCTGACCACACAGACACACAACTCTTCTGAAGAATCCTTGTATGGCCAAGCAGATACTTCTGTGGAAGAATTGCTTATCTCTCTGTGATTCATGAAACAATGGCCAGTATGTTTAACAAGTGATTTTGCATGGCTTTCCAT